AGAAGATTTGGATGAGACAGAAGCCCTAGCTAATAGAAGATTGGGATGAGACAGCTCTAGCTAATAGAAGATTGGGATGAGACAGCTCTAGCTAACAGAAGATTGGGGTGAGACAGCTCTAGCTAACAGAAGATTGGGATGAGACAGCTCTAGCTAACAGAAGATTGGGATGAGACAGCTCTAGCTAATAGAAGATTGGGATGAGACAGCTCTAGCTAACAGAAGATTGTGATGAGACAGAAGCCCTAGCTAACAGAAGATTGGGATGAGACAGCTCTAGCTAATAGAAGATTGGGATGAGACAGCTCTAGCTAATAGAAGATTGCGATGAGACACCTCTAGCTAACAGAAGATTGTGATGAGACAGCTCTAGCTAACAGAAGATTTGGATGAGACAGAAGCCCTAGCTAATAGAAGATTGGGATGAGACAGCTCTAGCTAATAGAAGATTGGGATGAGACAGCTCTAGCTAACAGAAGATTGGGGTGAGACAGCTCTAGCTAACAGAAGATTGGGATGAGACAGCTCTAGCTAACAGAAGATTGGGATGAGACAGCTCTAGCTAATAGAAGATTGGGATGAGACAGCTCTAGCTAACAGAAGATTGTGATGAGACAGAAGCCCTAGCTAATAGAAGATTGGGATTAGACAGCTCTAGCTAACAGAAGATTGGGATAAGACAGCTCTAGCTAATAGAAGATTGGGATGAGACAGCTCTAGCTAATAGAAGATTGGGATGAGACACCTCTAGCTAACAGAAGATTGTGATGAGACAGCTCTAGCTAACAGAAGATTGGGATGAGACAGCTCTAGCTAATAGAAGATTGGGATGAGACAGCTCTAGCTAATAGAAGATTGCGATGAGACACCTCTAGCTAACAGAAGATTGGGATGAGACAGCTCTAGCTAACAGAAGATTGGGATGAGACAGCTCTAGTTAACAGAAGATTGGGATGAGACAGCTCTAGCTAACAGAAGATTGCGATGAGACAGCTCTAGCTAACAGAAGATTGGGATGAGACAGCTCTAGCTAATAGAAGATTGGGATGAGACAGCTCTAGCTAACAGAAGATTGGGATGAGACAGCTCTAGCTAACAGAAGATTGGGATGAGACAGCTCTAGCTAACAGAAGATTGGGATGAGACAGCTCTAGCTAATAGAAGATTGAGATGAGACAGCTCTAGCTAACAGAAGATTGTGATGAGACAGAAGCCCTAGCTAATAGAAGATTGGGATGAGACAGCTCTAGCTAACAGAAGATTGGGATGAGACAGCTCTAGCTAACAGAAGATTGGGATGAGACAGCTCTAGCTAATAGAAGATTGAGATGAGACAGCTCTAGCTAACAGAAGATTGTGATGAGACAGAAGCCCTAGCTAATAGAAGATTGAGATGAGACAGCTCTAGCTAACAGAAGATTGGGATGAGACAGCTCTAGCTAATAGAAGATTGGGATGAGACAGCTCTAGCTAACAGAAGATTGGGATGAGACAGCTCTAGCTAACAGAAGATTGGGATGAGACAGCTCTAGCTAATAGAAGATTGGGATTAGACAGCTCTAGCTAACAGATGATTGGGATGAGACAGCTCTAGCTAACAGAAGATTGAGATGCGACAGCTCTAGAAGATTGGGATGAGACAGGTCTAGAAGATTTAGACAGCTCTAGAAGATTGGGATGAGACAGTTCTAGAAGATTGGGATGAGACAGCTCTAGGTAACAGAAGATTGGGATGAGACAGTTCCAGAAGATTGAGACAGCTCTAGCTAACAAGATTGGGATGAGACAGTTCTAGAAGATTGGGATGAAACAGCTCTAGCTAACAGAAGATTGGGATGAGACAGTTCTAGAAGATTGAGACAGCTCTAGCTAACAAGATTGGGATGAGACAGTTCTAGAAGATTGGAATGAGGCAGCTCTAGCTAACAAGATTGGGATGAGACAGCTCTAGAAGATTGGGATGAGACAGCTCTAGAAGATTGGAATGAGGCAGCTCTAGCTAACAGAAGATTGGGATGAGACAGCTCTAACTAACAGAAGATTGGGATGAGACAGAAGCCCTAGCTAATAGAAGATTGGGATGAGACAGCTCTAGCTAACAGAAGATTGGGATGACAACAGCTCTAGATAACAGAAGATTGGGATGAGACAGAAGCCCTAGCTAATAGAAGATTGGGATGAGACAGCTCTAGCTAACAGAAGATTGGGATGAGACAGCTCTAGCTAACAGAAGATTGGGATGAGACAGCTCTAGCTAACAGAAGATTGGGATGAGACAGAAGCCCTAGCTAATAGAAGATTGGGATGAGACAGCTCTAGCTAACAGAAGATTTGGGATGAGACAGCTCTAGTTAATAGAAGATTGGGATGAGACAGCTCTAGCTAACAGAAGATTGGGATTGAGACAGCTCTAGCTAACAGAAGATTGGGATGAGACAGCTCTAGAAGATTGGGATGAGACAGCCCTAGCTAACAGAAGATTGGGATGAGACAGTTCTAGCTAACAGAAGATTGGGATTAGACAGCTCTAGCTAACAGAAGATTGGGATGAGACAGCTCTAGCTAATAGAAGATTGGGATGAGACAGCTCTAGCTAACAGAAGATTGGGATGAGACAGCTCTAGCTAACAGAAGATTGGGATGAGACAGCTCTAGCTAACAGAAGATTGGGATGAGACAGCTCTAGCTAATAGAAGATTGGGATTAGACAGCTCTAGCTAACAGATGATTGGGATGAGACAGCTCTAGCTAACAGAAGATTGAGATGCGACAGCTCCAGAAGATTGGGATGAGACAGGTCTAGAAAATTTAGACAGCTCTAGAAGATTGGGATGAGACAGTTCTAGAAGATTGGGATGAGACAGCTCTAGGTAACAGAAGATTGGGATGAGACAGTTCCAGAAGATTGAGACAGCTCTAGCTAACAAGATTGGGATGAGACAGTTCTAGAAGATTGGGATGAAACAGCTCTAGCTAACAGAAGATTGGGATGAGACAGTTCTAGAAGATTGAGACAGCTCTAGCTAACAAGATTGGGATGAGACAGTTCTAGAAGATTGGAATGAGGCAGCTCTAGCTAACAAGATTGGGATGAGACAGCTCTAGAAGATTGGGATTAGACAGCTCTAGAAGATTGGAATGAGGCAGCTCTAGCTAAAAGAAGATTGGGACGAGACAGCTCTAGCTAACAGAAGATTGGGACAAGACAGCTCTAGCTAACAGAAGATTGGGATGAGACAGCTCTAACTAACAGAAGATTGGGATGAGACAGAAGCCCTAGCTAATAGAAGATTGGGATGAGACAGCTCTAGCTAACAGAAGATTGGGATGAGACAGCTCTAGATAACAGAAGATTGGGATGAGACAGAAGCCCTAGCTAATAGAAGATTGGGATGAGACAGCTCTAGCTAACAGAAGATTGGGATGAGACAGCTCTAGCTAACAGAAGATTGGGATGAGACAGCTCTAGCTAACAGAAGATTGGGATGAGACAGCAGCTCTAGCTAACAGAAGATTGGGATGAGACAGAAGCCCTAGCTAATAGAAGATTGGGATGAGACAGCTCTAGCTAACAGAAGATTTGGGATGAGACAGCTCTAGCTAATAGAAGATTGGGATGAGACAGCTCTAGCTAACAGAAGATTGGGATTGAGACAGCTCTAGCTAACAGAAGATTGGGACAAGACAGCTCTAGCTAAAAGAAGATTGGGATGAGACAGCTCTAGCTAACAGAAGATTGGGATGAGACAGCTCTAGCTAACAGAAGATTGGGATGAGACAGCTCTAGCTAACAGAAGATTGGGATGAGACAGCTCTAGCTAACAGAAGATTGGGATGAGACAGCTCTAGCTAACAGAAGGTTGAGATGCGACAGCTCTAGAAGATTGGGATGAGACAGGTCTAGAAGATTTAGACAGCTCTAGAAGATTGGGATGAGACAGTTCTAGAAGATTGGGATGAGACAGCTCTAGGTAACAAAATTGGGATAAGACAGTTCTAGTACATTGGGATGAAACAGCTCTAGCTAACAGAAGATTGGGATGAGACAGTTCCAGAAGATTGAGACAGCTCTAGCTAACAAGATTGGGATGAGACAGTTCTAGAAGATTGGAATGAGGCAGCTCTAGCTAACAAGATTGGGATGAGACAGCTCTAGAAGATTGGAATGAGGCAGCTCTAGCTAACAAGATTGGGATGAGACAGCTCTAGAAGATTGGGATGAGACAGCTCTAGAAGATTGGAATGAGGCAGCTCTAGCTAAAAGAAGATTGTGATGAGACAGCTCTAGCTAACAGAAGATTGGGACGAGACAGCTCTAGCTAACAGAAGATTGGGATGAGACAGCTCTAGCTAACAGAAGATTTGGATGAGACAGAAGCCCTAGCTAATAGAAGATTGGGATGAGACAGCTCTAGCTAATAGAAGATTGGGATGAGACAGCTCTAGCTAACAGAAGATTGGGGTGAGACAGCTCTAGCTAACAGAAGATTGGGATGAGACAGCTCTAGCTAACAGAAGATTGGGATGAGACAGCTCTAGCTAATAGAAGATTGGGATGAGACAGCTCTAGCTAACAGAAGATTGTGATGAGACAGAAGCCCTAGCTAACAGAAGATTGTGATGAGACAGAAGCCCTAGCTAACAGAAGATTGGGATGAGACAGCTCTAGCTAACAGAAGATTGGGATGAGACAGCTCTAGCTAACAGAAGATTGGGATGAGACAGCTCTAGCTAACAGAAGATTGGGATGAGACAGCTCTAGCTAACAGAAGATTGGGCAGAGACCGTTCAGGAATATTGGGATGAGACAGCACTCCAGAGAATAAAATGTTAAACCAAAAAACAAATCACAAAAAAAGTTGAATAGTCACACAAAAATATCAGTTAAACAGAACAAGACAAACAAGTTTGCATGAAATTATTTGAAAGAAACTGAACTATTAAACCAAAAAACAAAACAAAGCTCAAATGACCTACTGTTTACATGACCTGTAAGCCATATAAGGACCTTTCCACAAAATATACTTGACTAGAAAAACCACAACTTGTTAATATAAAAAATAATTTTTTTATAGCAGGTTAAGAGAAAGTAAAACAACTGTTTTTAAATTTATATTTGCCTTTAAGCCTCAGCTTTATTTAATAAGCACAATATTAGTTTACTTTAGTTTCATTAGGAATTAAAACTATTTCACAAACAATAAAAAATTGCCATAAAGTTTTTTATTTTAAGGAATCTAATAAGATAAATGGGAGCCCTGAATAAATAATTTATTACAAATTTAAAAAAAAAAAAGTGATCACATGAATATTTTCTAAATAGACAAAAGTTGTTTCAATTAGTGGTCAATATAATTTTAGTTCAACAGATCTTATTTTTAAAAATGTGTTTAAGCTATGCAGAAGACTTCTTTCAATTAACATTAATTCTTTACATGCTTCAAATTTTTTATCATTATTCAGAACAAAGTTAACACACTAAAGAGTTAACTCCCTGTATGAATATTTCTTAGACACCCATTTACAATGCCATCACATTAAAAATGCTATCACAAATTTCAGTAAGCATGTTTGTTTTAAAAGCAACAAAATGAATTCCTTTTAGATTAATAAATAAACTGGTCCACAACATTATAGCCACACTTATATTTTTAGCTGAGACTAAAGGCAAGGTCAAATAAACTTGTCAACAAAGACTTCAATCACTTACCCTTGCTGACAGCAACTAAACTGTGTTCACAGTTAAATAAAATGTTGGACTGGAACACAAGCAACTCAAATGAAAACAACTGAACAACTGGAGAACTATTTATGTAAAGCATCACAAATTTCTTTCAGATTCTGTGACTTGCACTCACAGCAGCATAAAATGTCCATGAGGAAGATCTGCTTGGGGTGGAGGGCACACATCTGGCGCACTCTGCCGATCAGCGTCTCCCCACAGGCCTTGCAGAGGATGATCTTGGGAGATCTGTTGCAGGTGCAGTTCTTGGAGTCTGGGGTGTTGTCAGCACTGTGGTTGTACAGGTTGTGGATGGTGGTCTCTGTGTCAGGAGAGCTGGGTGTACTGCACGAGTCATAGCTGCAGGACTTGGCCTGGGCCGGGGTCATGTCTAGCACCAAAGGGCTTCTTGCTTGTTTGGGACAGATTCCATTGTAGATTTTGTTAGTGGGAAAGTTATTCCTAGCAGATAAAGAAGGAATGTTAGGCTTCAGTGGGGTGCTTGTATAATGTTCCTCATTTCGATAGGGGAGGTTTCCAATCTTTCCTGGTGTTGTCATGGAGGTAGGACTGTTGTAAAGGTTTGCTGGGGCCGTGTCACTCTTCCATGTGTAAATGTTGCCTCTGTGTATCGCAGGGGATCCACCTTTTGTTTCAGTATTTGTTGGATTTGACATAAGATATGGCCTTCTGACCTCACCTGTTGGCTGAAGTTGGGTTGGTGAAACATTTCTAGCATTACCATGAAACATATTCTGAAAAAAAGTGGTACTTTAAAGTTTAATGAAATTTGATAAAATAAAATAATTTATGAATTGACTTATTTTTTATGACTAATCAGTGTTAAAGAAAAATCTAACCCTCTGTAATTAAAAAGCTATATTATAAAAGAAAAGATAATCCTACCAATGCATCCAAGTTGGCTGAAGTAAGTCCTAGGTCTTTTAGAGATCTATCAAAAACAGGGTAACAGGATGCCACTTGAGCTATAGGATTTCTGTTGGTGAAGACACTTTCCTTGTTTCCTTCCTTCTGCCATGCAGCATTGTTCTCATACTGTAGGACCTATTTTATGGGGGTAAAATCTGTATCAACCAGAACATTATAATTTACACTATGCTTCAAGCATCTATTGCAAAATGTTTATTTGTAATGTGCCTAAGAGTTATAAACTATAAATGAAGATATCCAAGAGCCTTTATCTAAAAGGTTTACAAAGTTTAAAAGATTATGATTATACATTATTATTTTTAGTATTACATTTTTTTCAAAAGTACAACAAAAATTGTTTGTAAGATGTTTGTAAGGAAACAAAATCCAAATTCACTTGATCAATTTAGTTTACCAATTGTCTCCGGGTGGTGGAAGGCTTGTTTCCCTCCAATCCATTAGCATCAATATTACTACTAATTCTACCCTTTTCTACACAATCTTTTCCAAGCAACTTCAAGCCATCAGTATGTCTGATTAAGGTTTCTTCATAGGGTGGCCTCATGTTTAAATATTTCTACACATTAAAAAAATTATTACATTTAATTCATGTATGATGTGGATCTGTTGCATGATCAGGACAAGAATGTTTTTTTAGAAAAATGTATTATAGCTTCAAAATGTATCCCTGAACTTAAAATTGATGATCACATCATTAGGCTAACATGTCAAAAAAAAATATAAGAAGCCAAAAATATATTTAAAAAGTTTTCATTTAATAATTTAAGCATAAAATGTGAGCATTGCTACAAAATTTACAATCGATGTTTTTGAATTTTTATAATTTATTATTTCACAGCAGATATACAGTCAATCAGATTTATATATTAAGTTCAACTAAGAGCAAAAAATCATTGAGTAGATAACTATTAAATTAGGTTACCATTCATCAAGTTATTAAGTAAGTTAATTAAATAATAACTCTGAAATAAGTAATCTATAAGAGTCCTAGACCTATAACCAATGGTTTATATTAATCATTAGCCTTCTTAAAATTCTTAGCCCCTACAAATGAAATAGTTGTAGATCTAGTACCAAGTGTCTCAAGCCCTAAAGTTTATAGAAAATACCTTACCCAAACTTAGTAGTAAGTTAGTAGACTTTAGCAAATAGACTGTTTTAAAATCAAGTAAATTAGTGGCCTATTTAATTCAGCCTATTTAGTATTTAATTTATAATTAAGTCAAGGAATTAAAATTGTTGTTAGTATATTAAAATTATTATTTTAAGTAGCATAAATTAATTAGTAAATAACATAACTTGGGGGTTAATTTAGTAGTAAACACATTAATACATTATTTATTAAATAAATTAATGAGATTTTAATAACTTAGTAGAATGAGTTTGAGAAATTTGACTTTATTGTTTGTAGTTTGTGCCTTCTAATTTACTAGCCTGTTGTTTAGACTCTAGATTCTAGTAGATTCTCTACTCTAGTAGTAACTAACAAGCCTATCACTTACTATTTTATAAGTACTATCACTATAGAAGACTATAGATCTAGATCTAGATCTATCATTCATTGATTGTAAAATAGAGTTAGGGTTTGAACTGGATCTATGCCTTGGATTTAGACATAAATATAGTGTTATAGATACTCTAAGCCCACCCACAAAAGTGAAAAAGAAATAGATATGCAAATGAAATATGCGGTTTATATTGTTAATAGATCTACGTCCAAGCACACTAATTATTTTTTTTCAATCGTCAGTGACCAGTGGTGACAACACAACAAAGTCAAAGAACTCAAACTCAATAACTCAAGCAAGTTAAACAGGAGTAGTGTTCAGGTGGATCTTCATAAATTAATTACATGATCAACATTGTTGCGTTCATTTCTATTTGATCTATCATTAAACATCTTGGACAAATGTGGATCACCAGGATAAACTTCAAATGTTGTGTTGGAACTTTGAATCTTGATCAGTTCTTCAAGTCTTCACAACAGGAAATGACACAAATTAAACTTTTCAGCAGAAAATGGGTGGGTTGTTTTGCTTTTTTTTTTTTTTTACGTGATCACGCAAAATATTCTTTTTTTTTTTACTAGCCTAAACTAATCTTTATTATAGTCACTGATAGAAATCTAGATCTAGAATCTATAACAAAAGAGGGTCAATTTGATCTGATAGTGACAATGTTAAAGATTTGTAATGTTTCGGTAGAAAGTGCTTAGTGGTCGAAATTTACCCCCACCCGAGTGATACAGAGTCAGGAGGCGTGATGAGATGTATCAAAAGGGAAGTCGAGGACAACAATGAAGTCCGAATCGCCGAATCAGAACTGTCAAGTCAAAATTTACGTGCGAAAAAAAAAACTATACAGGTCAATAAAAACAAAACGGTAGACCTTTATCATCATTCCTAGGTTGCCATGTCGATACTGAAAATGTAATTTCTACAAAATTCCTCTAACCGTTCTCTTTGGAGTGTGACCTCGTTAAAGGGACAGTATCATCGAGACTAAGGGAGAGAAAAAAATTAAATCGCCAAAAAAATTATCGGCATACAGCTGTCAAACATTTACAGTAGCAATTATGATTTATTCGCTATAATGCGGTATTTTATTGTAAGCTTATTGACAAAGCAAAATATTTTGAAAAATAATTGAACATATATTTTATAGTTATTTTTAACTCTCTTGTAAACAATCTGTTTAACCTTTAGCCAATGCACTTAAAAATTTGGTATATAATAGCATTCGCTTCAATCATGTTGGTGTAATTTAAGTAAATTTGAACAATAATTTGTTTGCATTTTAGAACATTCGTTTGAATCAACTTTCTATGAGGCTTGGACCCCTACAAAAGCATGATGTGATTTAGATCTAGAAGTCTAGATCTGTTGTTAAAGTATCAGTTAGTCCAGGGGTCGGCAACCTTTTGATACGCAAGAGCCAAAAGTTACAATTTACAAACTTTCCCAGTTTTTAAAGAGCCACAACATTTTTAGTTCAATTTTCGGTATTTGATTAGGATTAGGTAAATAAAGTTCATTTTGTTATTTAAAATAAATAGCTTTAAATATGAAATAATATTTATTCATATAAAATCATAGACAAGTTTCGACAGAAGAGTAAAATTAGTAATCAAATAATATTATTCTAGGACTATCTCATGCGCACATTTTCATAGCTATGAACCATAATAGCTAATGGAAAAAATGTAGGTGTATGTATAATAGTTTGTTGTTTTTTTGGTTTTTTTTTTACGAATTTTTAATTTTTCGTTGTCAGGGTGATACTGCGCCCTTGAATGACGACCGCTTACCGTATACTTATAAAGATTAAGTCCACCTGACAATTTCTATTATAGCACAAATTAAAGGAGCAGCACATTTTGTATATAATTAGAAACTTTGAACCCACAAGATAACTACTATTTCAAGAAAAAATCATTTATAGAAAGTGACGTAAGGTTGACAGGTAACATAAAATGGGATACGAGAATTTCACTCAGGACAAATATGATACACCTTGTGCAAACTTTCTATAGACAATGTGATATCTCCCCATCATAAAATATTTTATAGACAAGTGTAATAATTCCCAATACAACCCTTTATAGACAAGTGTGATTTTCTATACAATTTTGTACAAATAAATGTGACACTTCCCTCTTAGACCTTTTTCAGTACAGAGGCGTAACTAGGGGAGGGCAGGCGGGGCCGTCGGACATGCACCTACCTTAGTGGGTCGCGAAACGAGGTCCAAAAAAAAAAACTCATTCTGTGCTGAATTATACACAGAAGATAAGAAAAATCAGACGGCCACTTGGCTTTACGGACATTTAGAAATAATTAAAAAAAACTGTTACGGAACAGTGACTAGTAAATAGCTTCCTGGCCTTCCTCAGTTGGCGGTGGGGGTGAGGGGCACATCCTTCTATTATATAAATGCGCAAAATTTAGAGTTCGACCAGAGCGCCACAATGAATCGCTACTACTCTAAGGACAGTAGCCCATTTTAGTGTTATGACTGGTTTAGCCTGTTGTCAGCACCTCTTTCTCCATCTCTTTACTCCACGTTCCCAATGGCCGAACCCTATGGCGTCCAGGTGGTGTCCATCTCGGAGCTAGGTTCGGGTGTCCTTGACATTCGCTGGGCATGCCCCAACCATCGCGATCTTCTTGGCCTTATGTCGCACACGATACCATATAGATCAGCGTTCCTTATCTTTGTTCGGTATTTGATCCTCACTCTCTTTTAGTTTTAGCCCTCCTTTGTTCGGTATTTGATCCTCACTCTCTTTTAGTTTTCAATCACACAAGCTCCAATTGCTTTGTAAAAATAAATATTAACTCGAAATTCATAACTTACAAACCAGTGTTTCTTCCAGACTTTTTTCTCCGGGGGCACTTGATATTTTCTGGGGGGGGGACACTGGTAAAAGTATGTTTTCAATATAAATTCCATGTCGTTCGGGGGAGCGGTAGACTTTCTTCGGGGGGGGGGGGGGGGGGGCGGAGCCCTCCCGAAGAGATGAATGGAAGAAACTCTTGTTGGTACAAACTTAAGCTTTAGCAACTATTTCTATAATAATATGTTGTTTAGTTACCTAATCTCGTATGCCGCAATACACGCATTCTTCTTTGTCTTCTCGGTACCTCCTACAGCGTCATAGAATATACAGGCACATTTTTGTCACGAAGTCAGTCAACTTCGACATTGCTTTTATTAATGTAGTCTTGCTTGTCCCAAGTTTCATACAATACGACAGAAACCTTCGTGTTTACAGTTTTCTGTCAGACCACATCAGTGCTTTCTTCAGGCATCACTCCACGCCCCTTCCCCACACTAGCACACAACTTCAGAGATAAGGTACGTGGGTTTTGGTAGGCTGTTGTGGAACTCTGATAACCAAGGAATAAAATAAATCCAATGACCTTATAATTTTATATAATGATGGGGGGTGGGACCCCACTCTTGGTTGGGTTCATTTACCTGCAGTTATTTTATAAAATTCAAATTCTCTTATAGAAGTAATTTCAGAGCAGCATGCACTGCCATGCACTAAGACCTACTTAATACACATGCTTTAGAGGTATGTTGATAGACAGGTGAACTGTTGCCCTCCAGCTGAATTGGTGAGAACATAAATATGCATCTGATTTAGGGTGTGAATTGTTCATATAAAACTAGGATTTTCCTTGCGGATTAACATTTTAATTAATTCCTAATTAAGAAAAGACCTGCATCATACATACTACATCCAACTTTGATTGAGGATACAAAACAATACATGTAAGATATCAAACAATAGGTTTATTAAAAACATATTGAGAAAATTGTGATTTAAATATATAGAAAACATTTATTACACCATAAGACAAGTTAATTTTTTTTTATTTTTAGCTAGTTGTTAAAATGAAACAACATACAAATACACTTGAGGATAGTGCATGGGTTCATTTTAATTTGTCAAAATTAAAATCTCTATGATAGATACATCAGATCATAGTGGCAGATGATATACTAAACATGTAAAAATAAAATGATGAAAACTATTTACTAAACCCTAAAAAAATTAAATACCTATAATAGATTTATAAGACAAAAATATTCAAGATTATGAAGCACATCACGGCTTTAGTCTAATATTTGTCTTGTTATTGTAATAGTGAGCTGATGAATAAAATATTGATCTGGTTCTGGTGCAGTGATGCTTAGGATGGGGGAGACAAGGCTTCAACACCAGGCAAAATTTTACCTGGAAAATAAATATAACAAATCATTAATGAAGCTCTGATAATCTTAAGCTACCAATGTTATAGCTTGAACTTAAACATGTTCAACAATAATGAAGATTACCTTAAGACTTTAGTTTTGGTTAAAATTGAGAGTCTTCTTTAGAAGCTTAACACTAGCTAAGACTACAGAAAACAAACTATCCAATAATTCAAGTCTAAACACTTGAGAAGACAACCATTCAAGACTAGCACAATAATTCAAGATTAGCATTAAAGAAGACTTACCTTCCAATAATTGGAATGGCGGAGATTTGTTGCTGCCCTATATTCCACAGGGAGTGATGAGGATTAAGTAAGTAAGTACCTTCCAATAATTCAAGACTAGCACTAGAGAACTTACCTTCCAATAATTCAAGACTAACACTAGAGAAGACTTACCTCCCAATAATTCAAGACTAGCCTTAGAGAAGACTTACCTTCCAATAATTCAAGACTAGCATTAGAGAAGACTTACCTTCCAATAATTCAAGACTAGCATTAGAGAAGACTTGCCTTCCTCCAATAATTCAAGACTAGCACTAGAGAACTTATCTTCCAATAATTCAAGACTAGCATTAGAGAAGACTTACCTTCCAATAATTCAAGACTAGCATTAGAGAAGACTTACCTTCCAATAATTCAAGATTAGCATTAAAGAAGACTTACCTTCCAATAATTCAAGACTAGCACTAGAGAACTTATCTTCCAATAATTCAAGACTAGCATTAGAGAAGACTTACCTTCCAATAATTCAAGACTAGCATTAGAGAAGACTTGCCTTCCTCCAATAATTCAAGACTAGCACTAGAGAACTTACCTTCCAATAATTCAAGACTAGCATTAGAGAACTTACCTTCCAATAATTCAAGACTAGCATTAGAGAAGACTTACCTCCCAATAATTCAAGACTAGCATTAGAGAAGACTTACCTTCCAATAATTCAAGACTAGCATTAGAGAAGACTTACCTTCCAATAATTCAAGACTAGCACTAGAGAACTTACCTTCCAATAATTCAAGACTAACACTAGAGAAGACTTACCTCCCAATAATTCAAGACTAGCATTAGAGAAGACTTACCTTCCAATAATTCAAGACTAGCATTAGAGAAGACTTACCTTCCAATAATTCAAGACTAGCATTAGAGAAGACTTACCTTCCAATAATTCAAGACTAGCACCACCTCCAGTGCTCACATGGCTGACTTTCTCCTCAGTGTTGAATTTTTTAGCACAAGTGGCTGTATCACCTCCACCTGGAAACAATACAAAATGGCAATTTAATTAAAAAATACTTGTAGAATTTATACTGACATATTATGTTACATACTTGTAATTGTAGCAGTTGTAGAACTTATAGTGACACCTTATGTTAGCTACCAGCAATTATAATAGTAGTAGAATTTATAGTGACACCTGATGATAGGTACTCACCAATAATTGTAACAGCTCCCCTCTGAGTAGCTCGTACAACAGCATCCATCATTTGTTTGGTTCCAGTGGAGAAGCTCTCAAACTCAAACACTCCTGGTGGTCTATGGTGACAAAAAGATTGATTCTATCTTAACTTGGCCAACTAATACAATGTGTCTCCTTTACAAGCTGAAAAAACTTTAAGCAAAGTACAGACTGATTGCTGCTAAATTACCTTCTCCTTCACAGTCAGGTTTACATCACCAGTAACATATCTCACAAATACTTTTACATCTAGTCATTTTATCAGCAGCTTTTAAGTTTACAATCAAAATTCAGTGCAGATTTTACAGAGCCATTTAAAAAAAAAAGGTCTCACCCATTCCACAAGACAAGGTTGCTTCTGTCAATCACAATTGAAAAATCTTCAATAGATTTGTATCCTACATCAAGTCCCTTGACAGAAATGTTATAGTTTAAAAATAATTCAAGAAAGATAATCAATAAAATGAGCAGTAATTTTAACAGTTCAAAACTTGTATGCAAAAATGACCAGTAGAATAAGTATTTATCATTCAACTAGCAGGCAATGTTTAGAAAATTTTATGATTAAAGAATATGATTTACTTTTTTAAAACAAATTAGTACCAAAATAACACAAAATGGTTCTTTGACAAAATACTGCTGAAAGCTAAAAGATTGTCCTACATGTTATATAAAATGATACTATAAGGTAAAGTAGTTAAAATTACTTTAAAAAATGTCCCGTAAAAGATAAAAACTTAAACAGCTGAACCCAGCAAAGATTACCATCCATCCTTGTGGAATACCAGTGGCAACAGTTGCTGTGGCTGTTTTAGCATCCTCAGCAAACTTATCTCCAGTGATGAAATCACAGGGGAAATGTAGTTGCACATTGCGCTCTTTTGCCTTGTCTACAATCTTTTTAACAATATTAGCTCCATCTTGATCAAACAAGGAGCTTCCAATCTGAAACATTTTAAAACATCAGAACAGAAGTATTTTTTTAAAATACCAAAAAAAAAAAACACCTAAAATTTAAAAAATAGTGTGGGAGGGGTAATTGGAACATATAGTTTTACTTCTACGTTTAACAAATTATCCCAGAACATATCAAGTTATACCTCCATGTTGTTCATAACTTTAAGGAAGGTAAATGCCATTCCACCTCCAATAATCATTTCATCTACCTTCTCCAGCAAATTTTCAATAAGCAGAATCTTATCTGCTACTTTAGCACTGTAGTAAAAAAAAGATGTAAATAGATTAGACTTTCACATGTTAAGATACTTTAAGACTTGAATAATCATCACGAATAAAATACTTCTGTATAATTTATCAATTAATTTAAGAAAGACTTTACCCTCCAAGTATAGCAAGGAATGGTCTTGCTGGGCTCTCTAAGGCTTTAGCAAAGTACTCCAGTTCTTTTTTCATCAAAAACCCACAAGCTCTAATAGGGAGAGTTACACCAACCATTGAGCTGAAAATAAAGGGAAGAGTTACTCCATAAGTTACATTGATTGTAGCAAATTCTCATCTACTGCCTCTACAAGATAAAAAAAATCTTTGCAGAACCTATAACAAACTGTAGTTTGGAAATAGCTAAAATCTTTGTTACCTATGTGCCCTGTGTGCTGTACCAAAAGCATCATTTACATAGACATCTCCTAATTTGGTCAAAGAAGCTCTGAATGCTGCGATTGCTGCATCATCTGCCTTAGCCTGATACAAAATGAATTTTAAAATTATCATGTGATTTGTGTAAAATTTTAAATTTAACTAATCGTTGAGCAAAAAAGAATCGATTCTTCTTTTTAAAATGCTGCAAGGACTACTACAAGCTTGCATATCTAGATTTGAGCTTCAGAGCATCTCTTTACATGAACTAATTTCTGTTATTAAAATCATTTGAATATTTGTAAAGTTAAAGATGTAGAATATTACTAATAATCAAATACAAATTAAACTACATGAAGCAATTCTGTGACTAGCTTTACCCCAATATATACTGATCTGCGAGAAGAAATGGCAGTTTTTACCTTTTTACCTGCTGCATCTAAGCCCTTGCCTTCTTCTTCTAAATGGAATCTTAAATTCTCCAGCAGAATGACACTACCTGCTGGTGGATTCGCACAAAAATCTTCAACTTTTGAGCCAACACAGTCTTCAAGAAACGTGACTTTCCTAAAAAGTTAGGTGACAATTAGATATAAAGTATGGAGTTAATACATGCATACCTTGAATCAAATAGATTTAGTACAAATCAAAGCAGAGTAAAATCAGTCAACTTACTTTCCTAGCAATGTCTCCAGTTCACCAACAACCGGCTTCATGCTAGCCTTTGGATCTGGGCGACCATCAGGTCTGCCGAGATGAGACATCAGAATCACAGCTTTAGCACCCTTCTCCAAAGCATACTTAACAGTCGGCAGGGCAGCTACAATCCTGATTTTAAAAAAAATTAAATTACATGCACGAAAGTGGGAAAAATATAAAATCAATCAACAGACAAGCAGTAAAGGCCTACATTCCAAGGTCTTGTAAATTAAATGCACAAGGCGATAAGCTCACAATACCTATCAAACATAATAGTTTATTATTTCAAAAAATTACAAAATACTTTATTCAAAATTAATTAATTTTTATTTTAAAGTAATCATGAATTATACTTGATTTCAATGAGTTTTTTAATTATGTCATTTATGTTTTAGTAGACTATGAATACATACCTTTGATTGCTGGTGATCTTTCCTTCTTTAACAGGAACATTGAAATCAACTCTGAGATAAATAGAATAAACAGTAATTTTTTTTTTACATTGGCCTAATTAATTCACAAAAGCTGATTTGATAGACCATAAAGTTATACCGACTTTCAGAGCACCTATTAGTAGACTATTTCAAACAAATTATATAGGCCTATAGTTTGAACCTTTCCACTATACTATACTTAAAACACTGTACATTAATGTAAAATACTAAATAATACTTCTAATACTAGTATTCAAAATAGCCCATATTAAGTATACTATAGTCACAGTTGTCCTTCTTAGACAGTTGGAACATATCAATTTATCAAATAACTTTTTGAGGTTGTTTTTTTTTAGGATTAGGCTAAGGGAAAATTTAGAATCTAGTTAGGGTCTACTATACTACTAGATTCTAGGACTCTAGGCCAACCTTACTAACAGTCTAGCAGTCTTAGAGTCTTAGAGTCTGATCAAGTTGTTTAGTTAGGCTATAATATAAGTTATAAGTTAGTAACTTAGTAGCTAGCTTTGACCCTTCCGTGAACTCTGTAGTGTAGGCCTAAAAAATTGGCTAATAATAATTTATTGGCCTAATAATAATATGATTGTAACTGTTGAATATAAAGATTTAGATTTTTATAAGTAATAACAGCAGTTTATTATTAATGTTATTAAAATATTGCTGAGTTATTATCTTTTTTATTAGTAAAAAACTGTGTAAGATGTTTATCTTGAAAGGTGAAGGACGTTACAACTTACTTATATTCTAGTAATTTTAGTTAGCAGCAAGGTCACAGTTTCACATGCTACACATTATTTACTATTTTTCCCTCCTTTTGTATAGAATAATAATGGAAAATTTATTTACCTGATTAAAACTCTTTTGTCTTTCAGATCAACCTTGTCAATGCTTAGTTTATTCATGCTTGCAAGTACTGCCTGTAAAATACTTAGACTAGTTAAATGCTAATGTGTCCGCCGGTCGCTATCGGCTTTAGAGGAATAATAATAACATAGGAAATGTATAAATGTTCGATTCGGGCAAAAATAATCGATTCGTTAAATGGCTACGGAGATATTTTAATTACACATTTCTTGAAGTAATTGTAAAGCGTATTAAATTTAAAAAAAAAAGAATTATATTTTTTAAAATAAAAAATATAGACCTAAAGCATGAAGCAATAGTTCTAATCTTAAGATTATGAAAGAAATTATGGTATCGATACTTCAAATGGAACAAAGTATCGGCAAGGGGAAGCAATTTATCCTTGACCTTCGTTACATTAAACGACCTGACCAGAAACAGTGGTCGAGAATTTTTCTACAAGATCTGGGTCTCTAGATCTAGTTCTAAAATAGCTCAGATAGATCTATATCATTATTCATTTTCCAACCTTAGACCGCCATACATTCATGTTTGCAAATAACATAAATTTACCATTGGGCTCAAACTGCATCAAATTCCATGAGTTTAGATAGGTCTACCCACTGTAGGCATTTAATTCAAATGAGGATAGTAGCCCAGGCCTTAACAGGTGTAACAATCAGAAATTCACTAAATCAACACTCCTTAAATATTTTATCAACTAATTCGAAATAATTAAATACCGTCTAGAATATTTATTATTTATTCTTTGCGATACTAGATCTAGTCTAATTTTAACAGCATAGCTAACAGGGCCTATAATCAACTCTTCCTTTCGACTATATTCGTGATAACAAAGTGATCTCCCTTGAGGAGTCACGAGAAATGTCCCGGATCACACTTGATTCACGGGTTATAAGAAACTACTCTAGACCTTGTTTTAACCTCAACAGTTAATCCTTATATTTCTTCTTTAACAGTTCTAAATTTTAAAAAAACAACGAAAAAGCAATGAGTTTTGACAGATAGTTATGGATCCAATTATATGCGATAATATTAAAAATTTAAAGAAAATAACTTCAGAAGTGTAGCCAGGGGAAAAAAGGAAGAGCAGCGTCAACTTTCATGACAGTGACGTCTTTATTTTATGTATTTAATTTTTTTTTATAAATCTACAAGAGCTTGATGAATTTCTTCAGTTATAATCGCTATGCAACAGCATATCAAGGTGAGCAGTTCTCATAGCCCCCCACCCCCCTCTTCCCCGGGTCGACACCTATGAACTCCACACACTTATACCCCGTGATGTCACACAATAACGGCTTCCGATCGTCTGTCAGAAACTCCCGCCACACTGCGTCTATACTTCCGCAAAACAAATTTCGCACCAGCCGCTCCTACAGGTGGTACCGAAATGGAAATCTCCGATCTTGGTGCATTGGTGGCGGGGTATAAAACACTGGTTAGGGGTCATCCATAAATGATCAGAGTTTCTTCCAGGCATTTCTTCCCCCCGAACGACATGAAATTTAAATAATTTATATAGAAAATATATACTTTTAACAGTGTCCGCCCCCCGAAGAAAGTCTACCCCCCCCCCCCCCGAAAATTTCAAGTGCCCCCCCCCCACCCGGAGAAAAAAGTCTGGAAGAAACACTGTAAATGACGTCACGCTTTTTTTGGACGATTTTTACCTCCCCCCTCCCCTCCTCACACATCGTCACAAAAAGCCAGACCCCCCCCCCTAAAATGACGTCACACCTCAGCCTACAACCCCCCTCAAAATTGCAGTTGAATTTTTCTTAAGATATCGATATTTTTCCAAAATCTTGTCTGAACTCTGTCTAAATAGAGTATTTTAATCAATTCATATTGCAATTCATTAAAACAGTTTTCTAAAACGCGAAATAACGTCTAAAATTCGTTTTTTAACATTGCTTTGTTATAATGCAAAAGTGTGACGTCGCCATCTGAACCCCCCCCCCCTCCCCCTCGACACAGACCGTCACAAAATTACGGACCCCCTACCCCCTGTGAGTGTGACGTCATTTATGGACGACCCCTTAAATGTGTACCAGTTTTTTTTTTCTTTTTTTTTTTATTAACCTTCTAAAGTTGAGTTCAAGTGCAAAATTTGTAAATTTTAAAATACTCAGATCAAACTTGGTTTTTACATTTTAATTACATGACTTCACATAATGTTGAAAACATCTGACATGACTTCACATAATGTTGAAAACATCTGACATGAGTTCACATAACATTGGAAACTTCTGACTTTACCACTAAAACGATTAAATCTTAGCAGAGACTGGATTTAAAACATGTCGCACCACAGCATTAGAGATGGCATTTACTGCCATTGATGACAATGAAGACAACCATTTGGCAGCATAAATGACAACAAAAGATGGACAATTAAGTCCGATTGCAGAGAGTTCTAGCCGTTACTGTGGTGTTATATATGAATCAATAAGAAAGTTAAGGGGAGCTAACTCCCACTTTATTAACACCCATTGTGTGTTATAAATTAAAATAGCATATCAATCTCATTTTTTTCTCTACTTACCTCATATTTTGCAAAAGTTGATATCTGCTGAGCAGGAATATGACTTTTTCTTTTAATGTCTGTGATATTCATTTTTTTTTTAAATTACTGTATTGATATTGAAGAAAAATTCTAAAGTCCTATGTTTATAATGCAGCTGCCAAAAAAATCGATGTTTCTTGTCTTTCAGTGTACTTTCTCAGTATTGTGAATGAGGACATGAAGGAAGAAAAGTCGTGTTCCATTAGTCTGCACTGCACATAGCAGTATGGTTGAGTTTACTAATACAAATTCAGTTCAAATTTTGAAATTATTCAGATTTCAGAGTAGGCCTAAAACTCATTTATCCTGGTAACTTTGATGACTGTATGCTTGGTCAGTAGGTTTGGTATTTGGTGTAGTGTATCGCAGTTTTGAGTGTTGAGTATCGGCTCGGGTTTCGACATGGTTCGTGAATTTATTATTTTATTATTTGTAAAAAAAAAAAAAATTTTAAAAATGATTTTTATTTCATTTGATTATTATAGGATCTAGATCTAGTATAAAATATATAAAAATAATATTAATATTATAGATGTAGAATCTCGATCTAGATCTAGAGATCTAGATTTTGATCAGCTGTTTGAATTGGCATTCTAAATCAAAACCGGAAATAAACAAATAAGGCTCGAAGAGTTGCCAGATAAAAATGATTTTAAAAAGGTTGTAGGGCCTAAGCCCTAAAAGTAAATATCTTTTTGAAAGTCCAGCCATTAAAATTTTACTAGATTTTTATTAGGTCACACTGTCTGTTTGTTGTACGGTTATTTGTGTGATAGTGGCTTTAAACATTACTCTACTGACAAGGCCTATTGCTATTCAAGCTATTTTTTTTCAACTTGGCAAATGAGGGAAACATCAATTACTAATGAGAATAGGACTATATCATTTTTAATCTAATAAGCTATTAAATTCGCCATTACAAATTATTTTAAAGATTATAAATAAGGCTTCTACTACTAAGTTATGACACTACTTGGTAGAGTTTCTTTCAGGCAAATCTTCGGGGAGGGGGGGGGTAAACGAAATAGAATTTATATTAAAAATATATACTTCTACCAGTGTCCACCCACTTCACCCCGAAAATTTAGTCCGCCCTACTCCCCCGAAATATTTTAGTGCCCCCCCCCCCCCCTCAGAAAAAAGTCTGAAAGAAACACTGCTTCTAGGTCGATCTATATCTCCTAGACATCATTCGATCAGCCCGGTGAGCTGGTGTTTATGCCTAGTGTTCTTCAAAGTTATTTTAAGGGAATATTAGCAGCATCAAGAAGTGGATCAGGTCAGGTATAAAGATAGCTTTTGAGCCTTTACCCTAGAATGATTGATCTGCTTATTTCTTTAGAACATAAGTATCGACAAATTTTGTATCTTACAAACCTCTAAAAGAGTAGAAAATTAAACAAGTTTGAAACAACTTTATAATTGCAGGCTTTTCCATGCTCTAAAAAATAAACCGGGAGTGATCTCCCCTAAACTTTCTCGAATATTCTTATATGAAACAACAGGGGATGGCAACTGGGGATATAGACATGATTTTTAATCCATTTTAAATACTTAAACTTTTAAAAATAGAATATAATCTCGTAGAAAAGTGAATTGCGCACCAAGCGAACGCCAAATAAAGTGTGCATAATAGTGCGGAGTATTATTAGTACTTTATAAATTCACATGCGTTTTTTGAGAAATCGGAAATAGCGAAAATTACTACTTCCGGTCAACGGAAATTACTCAAAATTCGAAAGAAGATAGAGAATTAAATCTTTTACTTACATGTGAAATTGCATTCATCTATCTTAAATAGTTCTCAAGTTATATGCTTTTAAAAAATTGAAAGTTGAAAAAGTTCCACTTCCGGTTATCGGAAATCGCTCAAAAGTTGATACGGATCTACGATTTTGATATAATACTTATATATGAAATTTCTTCAACCTAGCTGTAACATAATCTTGTTTACACACACAGACACACGGACATACTTAGATAATCCAGTTTTCCAACTCCATTATGCATTAAACGTTGTTATCATTATGTTGTTTAGAAAAACCCACGTTCATTAAGAGAATTCAAGGATATGTAGGCCCAGTGTTTCTTCCACGCTTTTTTCTCCGGGGGGGGGGGGGCGGACACTGTTAACAGTATGTATTTTCTATATAAATTGAATTTCGTTCGCCGCCCCCCCCCCTTCCCACGAAGAGATGCCTGGAAGAAACTCTGTGTAGGCTACTATTTACAAAAACTGTGTTCACGATAATCTATTTGATAACAAAACATCCCATAACTAGGTCCATATGATCTGTTTTGTTTTAGTGACATGGCCTTTTTTAGTGTTTTGTTTCACATCACATGACATCACCCTCACACAAGTCTCCAGGCACGATGTCTGGCACGAGGAACCCGATATCCCTGTATCTAAGTGTGACACGGAACTATTGCCCACACCAGGATACTAACGCAGTAGAGGTATCTCACCAACCCGGACAGTTTTGGGTTATAAAGTGACAACATTTCTCTTGCGGGTCATATCTTTGTGTTTGTTGATTTCTGCTGGGGATTTTTAACTAGTTGGTTTGAATTCAAGCTCTTTAAAGAGTAACGTATGTACTCAATTTTTATTTTATAATTGCTGTCAGGGGTTTAATGTGTTGTGCTTAAACGTTCACACTTGATTTCGGAGTTCTCTCTCTTAGAAGGGTTGCTGTCCCCAGCTGACGAGCCTCATCTGTCCGAGGGTTCGTACTCTGGACTTTTGGGTTAAAATCGGTTCACTCCGACTCTACCAACAACGAAGATAAAAGAACATCATCGGGGGAAAGACAGCTCAAAACTACACGAAAGAAGTCTATCTGAATCTACACTAAGTGGCATATAATTATGAACCTGTACAATTATCTTCACCAGACTCATGATGTACAAGCTGCTGCTAACACTGGTGGTCGTGGTGACTGTGGCCGACTGTTATTCTATTCACGCTAGAGGTCGCTTCATGGAAGCTCGAGAAAGAGGGGAGCAGATGGGGTACAGAAGACGTTCACGATTCGACTCAGATGACGAAGACCGTCCACGATACCGTGGCCCGGTCCGTGACCCTATCCGCGTGGCATCAAGGTAAGCTTAGAGCGGCACAGTGGTAAAGCTAGGGCATTTGTTGGCGTGTGGCATCAAGATAAGCTTAGGGCAGCACAGTGGTAAATCTAGGGCATTTGTTGGCGTGTGGCATCAAGATAAGCTTAGAGCGGCACAGTGGTAAAGCTAGGGCATTTGTTGGCGTGAGGCATCAAGGTAAGCTTAGGGTAGCACAGTGGTAAATCTAGGGCATTTGTTGGCGTGTGGCATCAAGGTAAGCTTAGGGTAGCACAGTGGTAAATCTAGGGCATTTGTTGGCGCGTGGCATCAAGGTAAGCTTAGGGTAGCACAGTGGTAAATCTAGGGCATTTGTTGGCGTGTGGCATCAAGATAAGCTTAGAGCGGCACAGTGGTAAAGCTAGGGCATTTGTTGGCGTGAGGCATCAAGGTAAGCTTAGGGTAGCACAGTGGTAAATCTAGGGCATTTGTTGGCGTGTGGCAGCAAGGTAAGCTTAGGGTAGCACAGTGGTAAATCTAGGGCATTTGTTGGCGTGTGGCATCAAGATAAGCTTAGAGCGGCAAAGTGGTAAAGCTAGGGCATTTGTTGGCATGTGGCATCAAGGTAAGCTTAGGGTAGCACAGTGGTAAATCTAGGGCATTTGTTGGCGTGTGGCATCAAGATAAGCTTAGAGCGGCACAGTGGTAAAGCTAGGGCATTTGTTGGCATGTGGCATCAAGGTAAGCTTAGAGCGGCACAGTGGTAAAGCTAGGGCATTTGTTGGCGTGTGGCATCAAGGTAAGCTTAGGGTAGCACAGTGGTAAATCTAGGGCATTTGTTGGCGTGTGGCATCAAGATAAGCTTAGAGCGGCACAGTGGTAAAGCTAAGGCATTTGTTGGCGTGTAGAATCAAGGTAGCTTAGAACAGCACAGTGGCGAAGTTAGGGTATTTGCTGCTGTGTGTTGACTTGCTTTGGATACCATCAAATTACCCTGTTATTTCGCCTGATGCTGACAGCAACACCAATATACTCTAGCAACAGCCGTTCAAGTGTAATGTCCTATCACACACACGTTTTGTTAAGAGTGTCTCCCTGTTAAGGAACCGCTGCCTTTTATTATTCCATTGACTTATATGAATATCTGGTAATGGCTCCCTATACAGACTTTCATACTTCTAAAACGGAATTGTTGCTCTTGAGCCAGGTGTGTTTTTTGTTGTTGTTGAAATCAGTCGTGTTTGAGGGTTTTCTGGCTTCACGTAATGTATGAGTATGGCCGTAGTGGTAAGGTTAAATTTGGCTTTAAAAAAAGGGACACGTCATTTATGGACAACCTCTTTACTTTTATCAACAGCAGTAGTGAAAGTGAAAGCAGCGAGGAGAGCGACGAAGCAGGGTCACGTGGTATGGGGATGATGGGTAGACGTAACCGCGGTTGGATGATGAGCAGAGTTACCCCTTCTGTCAACACAATCGGCGAGAGCGGCACTGAGTTCATTGAGCAAGCAGGGGAAGACAACCCAACAACGACTGTTGTCGTAGATGAGGCCATCGAGCAACAGGCCATGCAAGCCAACAGGCCACCCAGACGGACACAGGCTTAAAACTGTACCGTCATTTGTGCTAATTAAACAGGCTTAAACTGTACCGTCATTTGTGCTAATTAAACAGGCTTAAAACTGTACCGTCATTTGTGCCTGTTCCTTTCTAACAGGTCTAGATTTATGAAATGAAATAAAAATCAAAGCATCAATTGGGTTTTGATAAACACTAAATTCCTCTTTATTTGTATATGTATGCGAATGTCTTCAGAAAATCAAACAAAATTAAATGTTTTATGGACTTTATAGACCAAAGCTATATCCAATGGCAAAAAAAATCATGTCATATTTAAAATTACAACCAAATTAATTCAAACATTTAATTTCATCAAAACGATTTAGCCCTAAAAATCTCAGAGCCAAATAGTGGTAATGGGGAGGTAAGCTGTGTTATCCTACAGAAAGACAAATACCTTAGTACCAAAAAAAAAAACTACATAGACAAGGGCTGGGCAAACCCCAGTCATAAAAAGGGTTTGGAAAACCATAATAGACCACACAACAAGCAAAATACAATTTCGTTGAAGGCCAAGCACTAATAAAATGTTCTACATACATTAAAACAAAATGTGTACATGACCTTTCAAAAATAGATTACAAGCTACCAGTGCCACCTTTTAATAGACTGATTTCTACAAAAACAGCTATAAAATAATATCTTAGAATAAAGCTGCCAGAAAACAGCTGCCATATGAATGTTAGATAAAAATAAAAGTTCTTTTATTAAAATAAAGTTTAAATAATTACTGTCAAATGAGTAATATAAATATGAGCGAAAATTAGCTACAAAATATTTTACTTAACACATTCAATAGCTGATCATAGAATACACAAAGTTCATTAGCTTGGAGCTGTAGATTTGAAGTCATTCTCAATTCATGATTTGCAAAATGCATTGAAAAAAAAATGGTTGAAAGAATATTTACACTGTTCTCATTACAAAAATAAATCAATTTTTAAAAAGATGTGAATTCAAATCTCATCCCCAAAATTTCAACAACAGGTTGTTTTTAGGTAGGATCTACATTTCAACCTGCTTATATTTATATCTTTAAAAAATTCATTGATAGCATTTTAAAAAATAACGCAACAAAATTTTGCTAGCCATAAAATAGAACACATGTTTAATAACATACTGTACATTGAGCATCTGATTTAACATTGACTTATTTGTGGTTGGCAAATAAGGTTGTATGTTACTGATATATGTAGTTAATATCCACTTTCTCATACAAAAAAAACCCACCAAAACTACCACCTCCACCAATTAATTGCTGTAAATCATTTCTGTAGTTTTTATACACCAAGCCTATAGCTACCAGACAATTGACAATACAAGAAATTTTGAATAAAATGGAAAGAAGATGGAGAAAAAAACTATTTTCACCAACACTATGATGAAATTATCAAAACAAATTATAGTTACATAACATACTAAACAAGCACAAGAATTAACATGCAAATGACATAATGCATTTAGGCTCATGATATCACAGCGTATCATAACAAAGCAACATTAAGGGCACTAGTTTTCACTAAAATTTTACGCAGAATGATGTATTGACATAATGAATTAATTTTCTTATCTGTCAATTATTTTCAATATTACTGTCTTGGTTTTTTATATCAAAACTTTTATATTTGTAAATTCTAATATCTTTTCGTGTTAATGTTTCTAAGTATTGAATTAACGTTAACAGCTTTTAATAAAAATAATTTGCTTGCTGTTTAAAAAGATAAACTTACAAATTCAATTTACTAAATAAAAAAAAAAAGCAAATCAACTTTGAAAGATACAAAGTAAAATAGTCATAAAAAAATAGTCAAAAAAGATTCCTGTTCAAACTGAATTATTGAAAAGACATAAAACCATGAAAGCATTTTGGATTTATTACAAGAATATCTTAATAAAAGTCAAATGTACAAATATAAAGGCTGATTTTTAAAAAAATTTCAAGTAAAGTGACAATATTTAAACTTTTTAAATATTGCTACCTGGCAAATGCTCACTTAACTTTTGCAAGTATAAAAAAATATACTATAAAACTGATCTTAATGAAGAATAGAGTGCTGCAATCACTATTTTATGAACAGGTTTTGCTGACTTTTTATTGTATTTTTTTAAATTTTAGTTAAAATTTCTATACTAATAAGAAAATAACCTGTATAACTGTCATATTTGTAAAAAAAAATTATTTTATAAAAATCTGTAAAATGTAGACTAGATTAAATTAAAAGATCAGAATAAAACAAAATTTCATTGTGCGTTTAATGCTGAATAGTTTGAATATATTTTTTTACAAATGAATAGAAGTAAAAAAATTTATAATGACATTTGAGTTGATGATAAAATTTATACAAATAATGAACTATAACTAATGACATTTTAAGAATATCTAAGCATGACGATATTTACAGTATTTATATATTTGTATAAGTACAGCAAAGAAATCTTTGATTATAAGTTGCTACTGGCCTATTCCATTCTCCTGTTACCAGCTCATACATGAGTTGACAAAAAAAATGTAAAGTAAAAATCTATTTTGCTTAAAATTGTATTGCCTGACCAAAGTTGAAAAGTCCTCTGTTGTTCAAACTCTCTGACCAATGTAAACCTTCAACATGCCTGGTGACTTTTCTTCAAACCTAAGAGAAAAGAATTACAAAGAAAATTACAAAAGGGCTTAGGTATTTTTAAAATAGTAGCGAGCAGATAATTTAATGAATAATTATGTTAAAAAACATGTTAATGATAAGATTCAACACAAATACCGACCTAAAGCCCCTATCTCTAAGGTGATTCATGATAGCTGGTTTTAGCACAGGCACCCCGTCCTTGCTGTTTCTGCCTCTACCAGTCACAATGTTTAAAAAGGAGTTCTTCTTGTCTTGTTTTTTCTTAAACTCTGTTAAAAGAAGAAGGGATGCATTTTTTGTTAAATTTTCCTTCCTAAAAATATTGATGAAAGTTTCATTTCAAAGTTTTAAAAACTAAAAACTACTCCGTGACCTACCATCCTCCTTTAACATGATGGCCAAGTTGACGGCGCTCACAGCTTCATCTAGATGGTAAAAGTGAAGATCCAAAGTATTTTCTTTTGCCAGTCGTTCAGTCCTAAAATAAAAATCCATAAAAATTTACTTACACATTGTTTAAAAACTCACAGATATTTTCTCAGTACATTTATCATTCAGTCACCTTTAATGCTTATCAAAGTGTTAAAAAGAGGTCAAACACAAATATTTACAAACCCTTTATCAAATAGCACATCGGCAGCTTTTTGGTTTGCACTCCTCTCCAGCTCTTTATATTCTTTCACCTGAAGATATGAAATAATTCTTCCGCGTTTAATTTAAACAGCAAAAAATTAGATGACCAGTACCGATTAAAATTTGAAAAAATATAATCAGCTAAAAATTAAGTTCATATTTAAGAACAAAGAAGAAGAAATTAAAATTAATAGCATTCAACTACAACAAAAATGTGCCTTACAAAATTGATTCCTTTTGTCTTTAACAAAACTAGACCCTTTTGTATGTAACAATTTTTATTTTCTGTCTGTTTAAAAAATCTTTACCTTTTGTCTGTTGTCAAACTTTTTATTTTGTTTGTTTCAAAAAAATGTTCACCTTTTGTCTGTTGTCAAACTTTTTACTTTCTGTTTGTTTGAAAAATTGTTTACCTTTTGTCTGTTGTCAAACTTTTTACTTTCTGTTTGTTTAAAAAAATGTTTACCTTTTGTCTGTAAAACAATGCAGCCCCAGGCATGTTGTCAGCCTGATATTTCTGAGCCTGATTCTGGCACTCTTTGGCCAGGCCTCGGTAAAACTGTGCCTCGTTACGGTACTCTTCAAAGTTCAGGGTAGAGTCATCTGAGTAGTAGGACTCGTATCCCTCCTCCACATCAAGGTCATACTGTTGGAGGCCAAACAATTAATAAAGAGCATGAGATACAAAGCCAAAATATTTTACATAAACACCACATGCTGAAACATCGGTTAGGATCTCAAGCCCAAATATTTGATCCACATACAACAAATTCCAGCATGCCAACTATTATGTAAGGACCTACAACCTACCCTGTTAACATTTTCTTCATTGTATATCCAGGGCTGTTCTTGATTTACCTCCCTTGGTAAGGGGGCTGCTGTTATTCCGTAACTGTTTTCTAAAACTTTCATCGTGTCTTCCTTAGAGTAGCTGTTAAAAAAAGGATTTTTTTCTCTCATTAGATGCGTATCTTTTATTTAATTAAGTTTTCTGGATGTTGTTTTTAAATAAATCATTACCTAAAAAAGTAGGTTAATGTTTTTTTCGTGGTTGACATGAATATAAAGTAAGACAAATAAGAAAATAAAAACTTATTTTTATTATTTTGCTAACTATATAGTTATGAGGAGCAAATATCAACTGGTGTTTAGATAAAAACAAAATAAACAACCAAGCAGCTAGATATAGTAATTTGTGGTTACCCAGCGTTCATGAACACCTCCTCCAAGAAATCAGGACTCAAGCTAGGGTAAAGCTGGGATAACTCTGACCTCTTAATCCTGGTAGCAAGGGCATGTGTGTCGCCAGTTTGCTGGATGATGCGCAGCTGGAGAATTATATGTGTTCAATTTAAAATCACAAAATTACAAAATTAATAACAGAATAAATTGTACAGCCAAGTCTGCTCCAGTAATGCTAAGACAAATCACATTAAAAAATTACTAGAGTTACTGTACTTGTAAAAAGAATAATCTAATAAAAGGATGAAAGTTAACTGATGAATGACTTTCATTGGCCAGCTCAAAATATTTCTCTTAGAATTGTATTTATTTTTCTACATGTGTTGCTTACTTTACTTATTTTGTGTAATAAATATTTCATCAGTAAAACACGAAACAAAATTTCATAGCAGTTCCGTTTTTCAAAAGATTTTTAACTATCATGCATTCATGTTGTATAATAGATAAATAATTATTTTAACTAGGAAAAACAAAAAAATTATTTTAAAATAAAATGACAGCAAATGTAGTAAATATCCTTTAACAATAATAAAGACAACTGATTATTTAAACATTAAATCAACAATAGTAACAAAATGTAAATGTTAGAAGTATTAAAAAAAGGCCAATAGAGGCGGAAAAAAATATTTGAAACTAAAAAAAAAAAAACCCAAATAAAAACAACTTTTTTCCTTGCATTTGGTGAATTCTGAAACAGGCAATAAATTCTTAAATAAAACTTTGCATAAACATTTGAATATACTATACTAACAACACCTATAAAGTAAAAGTAACTATTCCTCTTTAGACCTAGCGATCCATTGCGCAGATGAAGTAGGGCACCTTTGCTTCTTGACCCCGGCATATGAAACAATGGTGTGGTCAACAGTATGCCCAGCCACCTTTACATTCCTTAATTTGAGTTAGATACCCATAAGCAGCATGAATAAGTTTCTCAACACAATCAAACCAAAAGTTATGGTAAAGATAAAGAACAGTTGTAGTTTTACACTAAGAATTTGTTTGCATTGAATTAAAGGTAAGTGTTATGTATATATTTTATGTCAGTTTGCGGTTTGGGTTGAATAAAAGGTGTAATTTAAACTTTTAGGGATTTTAAAATTTTAAGATGGTGTAGTGTTGTACGATGTTTATTTTTATTTGCATATGAGCTGGTAGATGGCTAAATTTTTGGCAGGATGTTTTAATTATAGCATTATGGATATGATAATTGAGATACTGCTTGGTTAGTATTCTAAAGTTTGCATTAGATTTAGGTTTAGCGCTATTGTTAGGGTTCAATGTTTTCAAATAAAAGGACCACTACCAGTAAAACAGCTTGAGGAACTAAAATCATACAAAATGAATTACCTGCTCCTTCTGGAACTCTTCTCTGGCTTTTTCTTCCTCCATTATTGAATGAAGGGAATCAGCTCTTCCTTGTCTTTTGACACTTGACCAAACTGTTGAGAAATATTTTTTTTAAATATTAAAAAAAAAATCTCTGGTAATATAAATCTAGCTAGCCATATAACTAACTTAATAGAGACTTTAGCATAGCAACAATTTTGTTAGATCCTCACCAGATTTAGTTGCAGATCCATGCATTCTTTTCTGGAACTTAAAAGGTTTGAGTTTTTTCCCAGGACTTCCTCTCAAGGCATTCAAGGTATCAGCCACAGAGAGAGGTCTGATCTTCTGGTGCTTGTTGGCGAACACACTGGAGGATGTGTCACTGTGTCCAGCCCCAGCACCCTGACACATCCAGGCAGGTTTCTGATTGGTCCAGCCAGGCACGCTCTTTTTACCTCCTTGAGATGAAGAGTGCTGGACCTCTTGCAGCTTTTCTTCTTCTTGCAAAGCTCTGGCTAGGGCTTCATCTACAGATATTAGTAATGTGAAAATTATATTCAATTTTACTTCTTACTATCCACATCAACTTTTTTTTTCCAAGTTACATTTTAAAAAATCCTTGTGAAAACTATTTACTCAAATGTAATAACAGCAAGCATAATAATTGCAGTACAAGAAAAGAAATATCCAAAGAGAACTCACCATTCTGTAATTGCTGTTCATTAGAGGTAGACTTTAACTTTTTGGTACACTGTAGTTTCAAGCAGTTATAAATCTTTCTAGCAATAGCATCATCTAAGGCCAAACCTGCATTTCAAGATTTATTTATAAATAAATACACCTGGTGCTAATTATTTTATAATTAAAAAGAGATTAAAAATTATAGAAACATAAGAAACTTAAACAGTTGTATTTATGTAAACATTTAAATTGTTTAATATAAATCATGTGAACTTACCTTCCTCTTCAAAGTCAACATTCAGAGAACCATACATAGCTTCAAGGTTTTCAAGGAAATCTAATGGGACGTACAGTTTGTTACTTTTCTCTACAAGCCTTATTTCCTTGTTTGGATAAGGTAAATCAGTTGCTAGTGTCTCCACCTCTGTTTCAATATCATTCTTGGAGATACTCTTAGGAATATCATTCTTGGAGATACTCTTGGTAACATCAGTCTTAGTAAAATGTGGAGTCGACTTTGTATAGGAAGGGGAATAATTATACTCATAGTAGTTGACTGGTCTTGCTGGCAAAGCATTATGGTTTGGAGCCGTGTTAACATGCGGGTCAACCTGGTATGGGCCGTAGTCCCAGCACTCATCAGGATCCACCAGGCCAGTGAAATCCTCCAGGTTAAACTGATCTGGCCAGGCTTCGTGCTGCTTGGCTAGGTCCCAGCTGTGTATCCGTGACCTGGCAAAGTTTTCAATCCTCTGCAGCCGGTCGTGTCCGGCCTGGATGACCTGCATCTCCAGGTCGTCCTTGTCTATGACGTTGGTCTGGCTGATGATGGAGCTACACATGTGGCTCAGGGACTTCAGCGGACTGGCCACGGTCCCATGCTTGTCACCACTACAAGTCTCTTCCTCCACCAGGTCGGTCAGGGCAGGTGAGTCTAGCAGGTGACTGGTCACCCATTCTAAATTGTTCTGGCATATGGCCATAATATCTTCCAACTGCCTCCTGGAATATTCTGGGAAACAGCTCTGGAGTGTTTCCAAATCTATTTCTTCCTTTTCCAAAGTCTCATCTGTGTTGGTGCTTCTGTCTATGGTGTCAGGGGTGTGGGGGAGAGCCCTGGTGTCTGGCCCAGCATCAGATACATGACCCCAGCGTGAACTAGAGGGCAAGGTCACGACCCTGACCTCACTGGAAGCCAGATCTAAAGGCTGGAGTTTGTTGAAGGCTTGAGAGTTGAGCTTGTGCAGCATGCTGAAGTAGTACATCTCACACTGGGTCTCAGCACACTTCCTCTCAGACACCACTGCAGGACCACTCTCATCTTTTGGGACAACTGAATCTTTAGCTGGTGGAGTTAAAAAGTTACTCCAACTTTCTGTTTTAGACTTGGCCTTCACAGACTCCCCAATAAAAGGACCTGTTACCTTTCCCTTCTTGACCCTCTTCTTCTTCCGCTTGACAGGTAAGCTGTCCTTCTCATCGGAAGGGGGACTTTGTTCCCTGCTCGATGGCAAGGGACTCTGAGCAGGTTCACAATCTTTCAAGTCTGAACTGGGTGTCAAGCTAACACTGGAGCATTCACTGTTCACCTCTGCATCCTGCGCCTCGTGTGGGAGGTTGCCCTTGATCTCAAGAGTGATGGAGTCCTCTCCACTTTCAGAATCACTGTAATCCACCAAATGCAATGCTGACACTTTTCTCTCAAGCTCCACAAGACTTTCACTAGCTACTCCCTTAGCTCCACCTGCGACTCCTTCAGCACCAATATCACACTGGTCAACATTGTCAGGCCCCTCTACAGCAGGAGTTGAAGGGTCAACTTTGTTTACAACATCCTCGCTGGCAACTTTTTCTGATGAAAAGTTTTCTGATTTACTGGTTTCTACCTCAGACAAACCTGATTCCTCCACAACCTCGGGTTTTTCTTCCTTAATCTCATGTTTTGCTCCCTTAACCTCAGGTTTTTCTTCTTTAAGTTCAGATTTATCTTTCTTAAGCTCGGGTTTTCTTACCTTAAGCTCAGAATTTTCTTCCATGAGCTCAGGTTCTTCCTTTATCTGATGTTTTGCTTCCTGAAATTCATGTTTTACTTCCTTAAGCTCAGGTTTTACTTCCTTAAGCTCAGGTTTTACAGTAAATGTAAACTCCTTCACCTCCACTGCAGTGACAGGTGTTTCAACAGACGCCAAGTCATCACCTGCCTCCTCAGGTAAGTTTTGCCTGTTCTCACTGACTGACAACACAGCTGCCCCCTCGCCATCATCAGCGCTACCATACTTGACCACCATCTCCTCCTTGTTGCTGCAGCAGCTTTGGAAAGAGCATGAAGTGCTGCATGAGCTGTTTAGCTTGGATTCCTTTTCAGGTTCTTCTGAACTACTTTCACTATCAGAACAGCTAAAATCATCTTCAATGGAATGTGGTTTTAAGTCAGTATTTGGTTTCAAACTGGACTGTTGTCCTAGTTGACCAGCTGGTTTGTTGCTCAAATGTGATTTCAAATCACCAGTTGATTCAGGTTCTAATTGGCAAGTTGGTTCCATTTGAATCTGGCCTGTTTGTTCCAGTTGTATCTGGCTGGTTGGTTCTATAGTGGACCATGGTTCTAATGAACCAGTGCATGCCTTATTGATGTTCTCTGAGAGAAGGCTCACATAAACCTGCTTTAAGGAATCCTTGAGAAACTCCTGAGATATTGCACTGTTTGCAGTATTTTTGTTTTCCTTTTGTGAAGAGCTCAACTGTATTTTCTGTTTAGGAGTTCTCTGACCTTGTGGCTCCCACCAATCACAAGCTGAGCTTTGTGATGACATTTTGGAGGTGTTTGTATCAGAGAAACTGCTGGAGGAGGAGCTGTGTGATGACAGTTGGGTGGAGTATGTTTTGGTGACAGCACTTGGTGGAACCAATGGTGCTGGCTGACTGGTTCTCTCTGCAACTTTCTCAACTTGTGTTACTTCAGGCTGATTCTCCAAATTATGCCTTAAAGATCCATTTCTGTAAGGGGGGGGGGGGATTTAAATTTTAAAATAGAACTTATGTAATCAATTTTAAAAAAAAAAAACAGCACTTATGGGAGAGACTAACATACTAAAGGAAATATTTCATGAAAATTATTAACATAATTTGAACAAAAGGAAATATTTTTAGGTAAATCATTAACCTGCTCTGAGCTGAAAGAAATTATAGGGAAACTATTAACATATTTTGAACTAACAATATTTTAAATGATTGTTGGTAATAATTTTTTCTTAACTATGTATGTTGTCAAAAAACTTATTTTTATTTTAAAACTGTTTTAATTTCAGGTCATGTTTTGTAGTTTCATGAGATATAAAGTGATTTCATAAGAATCCTAGGTGTTTATAGACTTTTATGAATTTTTATGAGATTTTTGGGAGTTTCAGGAATTACAGGTGGGCGAATGAACCCAGTAACTTACTTTTGAACTAAAAGAAATACTTTAGGGTAAATTATTAAAATACTTTGAATTAAAGGAAATATTTTAAGCAAATTTTAATTACACACTTTTAATCAAAGGAAATATTTTATGTAAATTAATAATAGTATTAAAATACATTGACCTAAACATAATAAACATACATAGGTAAATTCATGTATCTCTGTGATAGCCAACAGAAAAACACACCCAGGGTCAGACCAGGTAAAAGCACCTACCTGCGAGCCGCAGTGACAGCATCCAGAACATCATCAGTTGTTATCTTCTCGTACCTCTCCTTCATCTTCTTCAGTGAATCCATGGGAACTCCGTGGCTATTTCTTCTGCAGAGGGAAATAAGTTTGTCACTTGGTAAACAAATAAACCATCAACAGCCTTGAGTAATCCAAAGTGTTATATTTATAACGCAAAGTCACCTGATGTACCAATTATACTTTTTAGTAATGGATATTTAAATTAGATAAAAGAAATCAGCACTATGGCTTTAATCAGGTTAGTGATTTTTAAATCAATGAGACAACTAAGTCTAACTAAACTATTATTGAATCAAAATAAAAGCTGAGTCCATTCATATACAAGTTCACTAACAAAATCCAGTGCTTTTTTTAGTTTTGTGAACAATGGTTCAGTAACAGAATCCCCCTACCTTATCCTAAAAAACCCAACTGTTTAAACCATCTTTTGTTGTTGCTGGTGTAACTTAATGAACAGAGCTCAGTGTGAAGTGAAATTTTAGTCAACAAATCTTACCTAGCCAGGTCTCTAACTTTTGACTTCCATGGTGTATTAGGTTCAAATACCTGCACATCATACTTGTACTTGTAGGCCTGGTACAAAGTTACACAATATATCAGTTGACAGACACACACACAAAAACACACAGCATGTCTGATCAGATGTTTTTATAACAGCCTCATTTGTAATCATGAGGGGGGGGGGGGATTGCATTTTTAAGTTATTTCCCTTAAGTGAAACATTTTTTTTTAAAACAAGAAAATCTTGTAATACATATTTAGTACAATTACATATTTACAATTTAAAAAAAAAAGATAAGAGGAACCATTTTTCTGTTAGTATTAAAGAATCCATGACCTAGATTTCATTATAGCTAAATATAATTTTCCCCGTATTTAAAAAAAAATCTTTATAGCACCAAAAACATAGGCCTAAGTTTCAGTATTTGAATACTATTTACTCTGCTGAAATTTTTTTTGGTCAAACATGATTTGATATTATTCTTAAATTTTTAAAGATAATATATCTTAACTGTTCTAATTTCTTTTATAAATAAGTAGATTAAAAAAATTGTCTAAGAAACTAAACCATGGTGCATGTGTCCACATCGGGTTGTGCTAGCACTCACTAATCACATGCTCAGGTCAAAGTTCAGTAGGTTAAAGCCAAGACAGTGAACTAAAAAACTTACAACTTGAGCATATGGCAAGAGTTCCCACATGACTGTGTTGGTGTTGTCTATCACAATAGGTGATCTACTCTCTTTCACATAGCTCAGAGCTAAAGGGAGACAAAAGATTAAACATGACATTCTAGTGGATTAAACAAACAAGAAATTATTGATCAGAATCAGTACCAATGTATTTATGAATAAAAAGATGAAACTTTATTAATAATAGTTCTTTAGATAGTAACTATTTTACAAAGCACATACACAAAACAGTGAAGAAACCATGTAACATTTATTTTATACACCATGTAAACCTATACATTTTAACTCAGTCCAACATTTTCTTCTTATATTATTTATTTAATATTCTATTTCCTTGCATTATTCAGACATACATTACTTCAGATCTTAAAATTTGGCTTGTTAATTTTACACACCAGTATATAAATATTATTATTATTTCTGAAACAGTGTTAAACATAATATTCTAATGCAGTACAATTTTAGTATTTTATTTTATGTCTCCATGAATGGAAAGATACAAAAGAGACCCACCTCGCTTCTGGTTCCATTCATGAGCTGTACCCAAATCATTGCGATTGTAAACATACTGTCCTCTCTGCATGAAGTAATCATCAGTTGATAAAATAATTCCCTCAACACCCATTTCATTAGCGAGGTCAATTAGCTGCCTGTAAAATATCAAAACATATGTAACAAGGGTCGTAAACAGGTCAACCAACCATTTTATAATTTTACATGTTTTATAGTTCAATAGCATTCAATCAATTTTAATTATTAAAAGGACCTTAACTTTTTTAAAAGGTTTATTAGCTCACCTGGCCAGATAAGTTTTTCCACTTCCAGGCAAACCTCTGAGAATGACAATGACAGGATATTTTTCCAGGATGTACCTGCGAAGAATGTCTTCTGGTGACTTGAGACCATGGAAAGACAACTTATTCCTCATCACATTCTGTTCCAGTGAGGCTGGGGTACCCGCAGCTGGGGTACTTGAGTGCTTGCTGCCAGCAGATGGCTTGGTGTCTGATGGAAGTTTTGGTTGTACTGAATGGCCCACAACTTTATCTTGGTGGTTTAAGTTTGAAAAACCAGGCGGGGGCTTAAAAGAAGGAGCTTTGTTGGCCACCAATGGTCTACTGCTCTGTAAAGGATGGGGCATCCAATCTGGCAAGTGTGCACTGTGATCTGACTCACTTTCCAACTCCCAGTGGTGGGTCTGGATAAAGTCTCTGAATGTTTTTTGCAAGGGTAATGTGGCATTAGGCTGTGACCAAAAAGGCTGCTGCGACTCCTGAGGAAAAGGTGCTTTAGCTGCATGGTTCTGGGGCTGCCTTGTTGTGTGCCCCCCAGGGGAGACTACTGTTGATTTATCAACAGTGACAGCACCTATAACCCATGGTGGTTTTCTAGTTGTTAGGGTTGAATTATTTCTTCTCCCACCTGTCAGTTTTTGTGGCTTAGGGGCAGCCATAGGCTGGCGTGTGTCAGGAAATATCTCCTTCCAGCCCAAGGGATCCACTGGATCAATTAGAGGTCTGGGTTGATCAAAGTTACTTCCCTGCTGTGTTCTGTCACTGTAAGAGCTTTTCTCTATTACATTTCTCCTGCGATTAACATCCACTTGTTTAGGCTGAAAAACTGGAGCAGTAGCTGATATTTTTGAGTTAGAGCCATGTAATTTTTTGGGTGACATAAGATTATTGGATGTTCCATATTCAACTTCTGACTCTAAAGTAATGCCACTCTTTCTTATATCAGCATTGGGTAAATTACCCATTACATGATGATTATAAGTACCAGTATTAACCGGAAAATAATTAGTGCCTGTCTTACTTTGCTGTAATGTACTTTTATCAGCACCTATTTCCAAATTTTCTGAAAGATTATTTCCTAAGGGCGATAAAACATTAAAAACACTATTATTAACATGATTCGATGGTAAAGTTTTAGTTTTTTTCTTTTTCTTCTTCCCTCCAGCAGCTTGCACAGGATCCACCTTACTGGTACTCAGGTGACTCGGTGACTGTGCGTGTTTAGCCATAGTGTCGGTGACTAACTTACTGATGTCAATCCTTTTAAAGCTGCTCCCCTCAAGGTCCACATCATCAGGTTCCAACAGGCAATTCTGATAGAACTTATCCCAGCCGCACGGCATCGACTCTGGGACCAGAGGCTGACCATCACTGGTCAAAGATTGCTCCTGGTAAAACATTGTATCTTCACTTTTACCTACATTGCTGCTAAAATTTTGTGGTCCATAAATTCCAGAGTTTTCATCTGAAATATTCTCTTTGAAATTTTCCATAAAACCTGGAACCTTTCTAGAACCATCAAGAGCTGGACCATACATCCCTTGTTCAGACTGCAATGGTTTTATACTGCTGAACTTACCCCTCATGCCATCAAATGATAAATTATTTATCTTTTGGGTATCCACCATTTTATCCTTGTATGTCTGCTTATCCTCCTTTGAATGTTCTACTCCAACAAAAGAATCCACACCAATATTAAAATTTTGCTCAGTGCCGGCCTGAGACCCTGAAGTGATTTCCGAGCGAGTGTCTACAAAAGATTCAATGTTGCCAGATTGACTCAGGTTGTTTTCCCATTCATCAGCACCACTAATAAAGGTTAATTTTTTAGATGACGTGGTTTCCTCAGACAGCAAGCTGCAAGCGATCATAGCAAGATCTGTTTGCTCTGATAAGTGTTGGCGGCTTTCTTCCTCAACAATTTCTAAGAGTTTTTCTGTCGCTTCACTCACTGAAAATACACAAAAAAGGATTAAAAAATAATTATAAATGAAAATAAATAAGAATAAACACAATAATATTAACAATTGCTATAAAATACAACTGATTTTATAAAATAAAGACTATTACAGTTGTTTGAAGTATAATTTACAGCTTTAATGTAGAATCTATGGGGAAAAAAGGTCAACAGAACAAACACGCACAATGCTCAAGATCAAACAGAAAAATGCACGCTTACAGTACATGCTGTTGGACCTCTTTTATACTGAAAGGTTTTTTTTTTTAAAACAAAAGATAAGATTATCAGTTTTCCTTTTTAAAGTTACAGAATGGTAGAAAAAAAAAAGGAAACTAAAATAATCTTTTGCATCATCTTATCAACTGTTCCATACATGCCAAAGACACATGGAGCAGATAAAGTAGAGATCATCTGTTTCAATGACATCAGCATATAATGAAATAATGTGGTCAGCACTATGCCAAAATGAGTACAGTCAGGTACTCATCAGAGCTGGCTGGACTCAGGAACATACTGCAGACTTGAACCCAGTGTTGGAACTCGAGCCTTTGGGTAAGCAGTTGTACGCTCTAACTTCCGAGCATGACAAACTACAAGTAATCTTATTAATGCAAAAAGAATTTACAAAATGGTCCAAGTAAGTAAACTCATAGATATAATAATTGATAGAACTGTAACAATTGAGGTTTAAAATAATTTGATCGCATTTATTATCATAATTAACTTTTAGTTTTAGTTAACTTTCAAGTTTTAGATTAAGGGAATAGGCTCAGGAGAGAAACAAAACAAAAAATTCATAAAAAACGTTTTAATAACAAGCTTTTATGTAATAATGCACTAAAAAGTAGAAAATAAATTATAGACTACTATTTAAATAACTATAAAGAAAAGCGTGGGTCACTTTAGTATCTATTGGATACCTTTACTAATGTTAAGGAAGACACCCACGCTTTTCTTTATAGTTATTTAAATAGTAGTCTATAATTTATTTTCTACTTTTTAGTGCATTATTACATAAAAGCTTGTTATTAAAACGTTTTTTATGAATTTTTTTTCCAGTACTTTACATGTTTTATTTACAATAGAGTTACATGACTAAAAACCATTGCGCGCCTACTGAACATCACGTTCAGTAGGCGCGCAATGGTTTTTGAACGCAGCCATTGAACGTGATGGCGCAGCTATTGAAGGTGATGACGCGTGTGGTGTGGTTGGCTAGACATGCCTACTAATTCGGTCCAAAATTTTATTAATTCATAAAAAATTAATTAGGCATCCAATTAAGTCAAATTTAGTTTCAGATTGCATTGTCTTCATGTCTTGACCCATGTGTCAAATGTGAATCGTTTCGGTCAAGTAGAAGTTTCCGAATTTTCACTCCTGCGTTTCGATCTAGACTGACGACAGAGCGACGACAGAGGAAGTGAGTTAAATAAAAGCTTGTAAAAATCACTAAAATCCTGATTTTTTTCATCATAATGGGCTTTTTTGTTTTGCACATTTGGATTCTTTGTCCATTTTTGTATTTAAAATTATACATTTAATTTTTTAAAAATGTGTTAAAAATTCTATTTAAAAAAATCATTTTTCCCCAATCTTTAATATCCGTCATCATATTTGCTGACATCATTCTGCATTTCTCCTGTATTTGTTACTCATTGCTTCTGTCACCTCATTAACAGCCAAAGCTTTTAATTTACTTTACCAATTACACAGAAATGGTATTTTCCTGACAAAATTTTTGTAATATTTTTCTGCTTTTGTAGTTTTTTAACGCTAAAAGGCCTACTACTTTTTAAAATATTACAATTTCAACTATACTTTAGGTATTTAGAAATTCAGAAGAAACCACTCTAATTTACAGATGCCCACTATTTTAATTTATATAGCAAATCTTGCTCTCAAACACTGCTGTATAAAGTTAATTTCTGGCCTAAAGGCCTATTGATATATTTAGACAATGCATTTGGTGTATTATTCAATTTATTCAATTATATATTATATTTGACACAAAAATATCACAATATACTTGTAACAACTGTGTCTTTATAAAATCATAAAATGCGAGACACAAAATGGCAAGGGGGTAAAATGCTAGAAGGGTTTGAAAACCGATTAGTAGGCTTGGTGTGGCTAAATTGAGCTGACATATGCTAAAATTTTACCACACCAGCATTCCAACGTGCTGACCAAAGTTAGATGCAGGCTTACATTTTTAAACACTTTATTTAAGTTGGTATTATTATAATTTATAATGTAGCTGCTTACCGCAAATGTATTTCAAGCCCAATGAATGTGATGTTCCAATTTTTAAAGCACCCGCGCTTTGTCAAAGATGGAGCTTCTTTCTATTTTAAATGTGTTACTCTTGGTCTATGTTAAAACGTACTTTACTTTTTATTTCCTCTAATGTTCATTATTGAGTTCATTTAAGTCCAAAATTTTCTTCTGACATTTTCAGCAAGGCCTAGATATTTAATGATAAATAACAAAAACATAGGTTGATTTTTAAATGTTGCCATTCTATTAAAAAAATGTAGGCTACATCTAAAGTCACATGTGTGGTAGTAGGCCTATAGGCCAAAGTTTGTGCGAAAAAACACAAAAAATGACCTCAAGTATGTTTTTCTTATTGCTTGCTTCGGGGAAAGTATCGTTACAAACAATTTTATAATGTATGCTTTATTCTCTTTATGAATGCAGCGACCCTTAGTATGTTTTTCATATTACATAGTTAGGGAAAACCTGAAGTGATGTCGACAATTAAAATAGCAGGTACATCCTAGGAAATGACCCCTCGAACAAGACAGGATTTTTATCTGGTTGACAAGAGGAGCAATGATTTTTAGAATATGCATTATTTTAGAATATTTTAAAAAAATCTAGACCCAGATTCTAGATTGAGAGAAAAACTTAACAAACATGCAACATTTATGTAATCTATTTAGGCCTATAACTTTTCTTTTCGCAAATATCGAGAAGAAAAAAAGAGCCAAAACCATGAAACAAAAAAAAGTGTCTAGCAAATTGTGTCTTGCTATTTATCCGTAATTCCGCAGGTATCGTAGGTCTCGCATTTTAATGCCTTACCATTTCGCAATTTATTTACCATGGGCAATAAATAGTCATTAGTCACCTTTCGGATGATTTTAGATACTAATGTCCGATAATAGACACTTCCATTAAATAGGTGTGTTGGGTTGTTAGTACATTGTAATCTCGACTAATTTTATGGTTAGAAATTAGGGTTAGGCGTATGGTAGGACCAGGGTTGGGGTTAGGGACAGGGTTAGCAATGTTGACATTAGCCAGCCAAGTGTGTATTTAACTATTTATTAGTTAATTACCAGTAACCCAACACCCCTTTTTTAAAGAAGTAATTTCAGCTAATTTCTTACAAAAACTTATGTTGGGGGGATATTGTGATGGATTTGGAAGAAAAATTAAGTTTAGGTAAAGTCGACTCTAGCTAGGCCTATGCCTATTATTAGTGAGATAAGTATAGGGCCTATACCAAGCTTTTTAGGAATTTTAAGGCCAAATTTTTTATTTTTCTCAACCACTTTATTTCTTTACTTACCATTTCTATTACATTCAATAAAAACATCGTAGATGATGTCTTTATCTAGTGTAGGAAATAATTCTAATAAAGAATAAACACTTTCTTCCTCAAAACATTGATCAGGATCAGATGAAAAAAGTGTATTGAACGTAGATCTAGATCTAGTGTTGGCCGCGTTGTAGGATGAAGCAGCTGATTCTTTCGACATTGTCACTTTTTTTCCTCCTTTACTTTTCGGCATTTTAATTAATTCTAGATCTAGATCTAGATCTTCTACAGATGTTAAAAAACTTAAACTTTACAAAGATTAAAGAGATGATAAAGATTTTTAAAAATGTTTTCATAGTTAGCCCATCGACGTGTGTAAGACCATCGTGTGTCGTGTACTCTTATCGTGTTCTGTTTATGTGTCAACAAAGTTTTTCAAATGTCAATGTAGCCTAAATACCGAAACTGAAAGCATTCCAAGTTATAATTATAAACACTAGACTAATAGTTTAATCTATTTTAATTTAAGTTCTTTGAATCTTTTGATATCGATATTCAGTTATTTCAAAATACTTAAATATATCTGCTTGTATTTGATTACCCTCAGGTTATCTCACTATAGCATTTAACTAATTACTTAGAATCTAGATTTTAATAACGCTGTTCTCCAATTTTTGTTTTAAACTAAATTTAAGTCAATGTTTCTCATTTTCAAGGCCTTAAAATTTTTTTTAAAAATTACTGATTTATGAATGCTGGCTATAGGCCTACCAACTATTAACCGAGCTCAGTTAATAGTTTAGAAATAGGGTTATTTACTAATTACGTGGAAGGGGAGAGGGGTGGGGGCTTAGTTGAGGTTGACGTCATTTTAAGGAAGGAAAAGGGGACGACTTTATGACACCTGGAAAATGAGGCGGGAGTAAAAAGCAAAATATTATTTAAGTTTATTGTGTTTAAGATAATTTTGCAGACATTTAAAAAAAAAAAAATACAGCTCGTCTTTATGTTTGTGGAAAAATAGCACAATAAAGAAGGCCCCCTGTTATAATGCTACAACTTTGAGCAGATTTTAAATATCTAAAACAACCGCGTGTTTTCTAATTTAAGTACGGTAATTTTAAAATGAAGTTCTAAAAGTCTAGTCTAAAGCATTATACAGCATCTTAAAACACTTGAGAATATACAGATACTGATACAGGCACTAATAGCAGAGTTTCTTCCAGACATCTCTTCGCCCCCCCCCCCCCCGAACGAAATGAAATTTATATAGAAAATATATACTTTTAACAGTGTCCGCCCCCCCCCCCCCCCCCCCCCCCGAAGAAAGTTTACCGCCCCCCCCCCCCCCCGAAGATCTCAAGTGCCCCCCCAGGAGAAAAAAGTCTGGAAGAAACACTGACTAATAGGCCCTGTATTAATTAATGAGAAATATGCGCTCACCAATAAACTGTGACTTCAATTTTCATCAAAATTTTGAAAATAATCCAGTCAAATAGAATAAAACGATAACAAAACATAAACGTGTTTTTCAACAATTCCTAGAGTATAAACAGTTTGTTGCGCGCAGTGAAGAAATCGTTTCGGTTGGACATTTGTATTATTTTTAAAAACGGGTTTTTCCGATAGTCGTGTTTACAGCCAAATTTACGACTTACTAACTTGAATGGAAATAAAGTGATGTAATTAATATCAAGCTTACGTGGAAGATATTATTAGAAAAAGATAACGCTCTTGCTTATATCACGCATAATCAGGCAATTTTAATACTAAGTTTTCTATGTGATTAAATGTATAGACCGACATACTCTTGAAATCAGTACAAATCATTGCAAACATCATTTATTGTTCACAAGCCTGAATATCTACATTTTTTTGGTGGCATGGTTAAAAAAGATATTTAAAAAAAAAACGTCGATTCTCTAAAGTGATTTCTTATTATTAAAACAGTTGATGAGAGGTAGGCCATAAGCTACGTCATAAACTACTGCTAAGGGAAAGGGGGGGGGGGAAGAATTGGATTTCAGATTGCTATTTACCTATTTTTCAAGCAGGATAAAGAAATCAGTGAAAGGAATAGCATTATATGAGCTCAGTAGTAGAATATCTGCCACGGAAGTAAAAATTGCTTAGAGAGGAAACTGCCAATAGCAAACTAATACAGCGATAGAATGCAGGGGAGATCAGTCAGTCTATACCAGGAAATGGTGAATTTTATGGATAAAATTAGAGGGTACATTTACATCCCTAATACTTGTCAAAATATACACTTCTAATCTTCTTCGTACTTAATTTAAGTATTTAGAGGGATTCCCTCCAACACAATCAAAACATGCACCATATAGGCCACTGATTCCACTTTCAACCTGCTTTTCTTTTTGGATTTGCTTCCATAGCCTTTGTCCAACCAAGAACAAACTACAAGGCAGGAGTTGTTTGATTTTGGAGGTCCCCAGCCATGAGCCTCTTCTGCCTGGGGGTTCAAACTTGAGACTTTTTGGTTTAGCAACCATGAGCTTTACCAACTCAACCACTCCAACTCCAACCTCAATACACACTATAATACTGTTAAAAAGTAATATTGACACTATTGTACTTGATTAACTTTGTAACGAAAGCCCAATCAAAAGTCTTTATGGTAGGAGGTGGCAGCAGGCAGGGTAGGGGATTGCTTGGAATGGGATGAGCAGCCTGTGCTGGTGGCTAAAACAAAACAATGCTGGAACTTACAGCAAGATCCTCTGAAACTGCCTGGACTAACCACTAATCATGGGATGGCATGGACCAATCCAGGGTTTTTCTCAATAATATTATTAACAGACAGGTAATTTTCAAAATACCTTACTTAGTTACAGAGAATAAAGTTCTATACATAACTTAAAAAAACAAAACAAAAAACAACAGTGATCCACATTCTGTTTGCATTAATAAAAAATCTTTTTTTGAATGAGTTTAATTTTTCTTCTGTAATACAGGTGTAGGTATGAATGTAAATGTAGATTTTAGTTTGTCCCTTGTAGATTTTGATGCATAACCCTGATGTGTGTATGTTTGCAGTTGGCCAGGTTTTTCAAAACTTGTGTCTGATACTGAACAAGCTGCAGTTTCTCCAAGTAAGGTGGGATTTATATAACTGTGATTGTTGTTATTGGCAATTGGTGCATTGAAATTGTGAGTGTTATTGTATGAATGATGATACATATGTGAGTCTGATGCATTGTGAGTGTTATTGTATGTCTGATGATGCATATGTGAATCTGTCTCAACAGAGGAATTATTGCACTGTGTGGGATGTTTACGTTTACGAACATAAGGTTTAAGTGAAACATTAAAAGTAGTGTGCACAACAGTAGGCTCCTCATATGTATTAGAAAATCTGGTTAATTCAGTTTCTTGATCTGTGGCGCCAGAAGAATTTGGTGAATAAGTTTTGTAATTTTCTGAAGCTGAGCCATATGATGTAGAGGAGGCTGAGCCATACGAGGATTTAGATGATGCAGAGCCATAAGCAGATATGTTCCCACTCTGAGGATAAGTAGCTGAGTTATTATTGGATGGATACTGTAGGTTTGATGAACTATTATCCATGCTTGTATCACATGAAGCTAATTTCTGGGATGTTCCATGGTTATGTTCATAACTAGCTGTAGAAGACAATTTTTGATTTGCTGAGTCAGCTCCTTTGCTTGCACTTTCAAATCTTGATTTGCCCATGCGTCTTTGAAACTGTTTACTGTAACAGATATTAAAAATGTAATATTATTTTGAACAGTGTAGGGACCAATTAAACAAATACGTGTATAATCTTACTCTTATATCTACAGATTTAAAATACGATATGACTACTGTTAGGCCTCTACGTAGGCTATATTTAAAATGTACAACATAATTATAAATGACTTTACTTCATGGATGTATTATAAATTTAAGAAGTTCTACTCATGTTTAAATAAAAAGTGTGAATGTAATATATACAATTGAACCTTATTTTAACTTATTTTAAGTTCATTTATATTATATTACATTCACTCTTAGTAAAATAGCCATAGTTTAAAGCATAGTAATCACATCCAGCTGATAGTGTTCAAAAATAAAGTTCACCCTGAATTTGTGCGACGTCCATGATTCCAAACACCTCCAAAATTTGGCAGCCAGGACTCCAGCTGCTCTGTGTTGTGGTCAAACTTTGCCCCCACCCGACATGCAGGAAGCAGACTCTTCTTCTCAAGTTTACCTAACAAAAAAACAACAGCTGTGATCCCAAGCAACCATTTTAAACTCGCATTTAAGATATTTGTTGACTGAATGACTGAGCTCATTCAGATTGTTATCAGAAATTCTGTATGTGTGTATCCAAATAGGGGGAAAACCAACAAACGTGATTGGACAAAGTTTAATATTGTTAAAATACATTTTCTCTTTTGAGATAACTACAATAAACATTTTAGTTACAATAAGGGCATAAATCATAAATTAATCTGTAGTGTAAGGTAAGTAAAGTAAAGTTTCCCTTTCAAACCTGACGGTCTATGGGGCAAGTGAAGTAGAGTTCACTTGTTTCTGTGACCTCGGCATATGAAGAGATAGTGTGGTCAGCACTATGCCCAGCCGCATTTACTTTCCCTAACGTGAGTTAGGTACCCATCAGAGTTGGGTGGACTCAGGGACGGTCTACTGACTTGACACCGGATTCGAACTCGAGACTTACGGGTTATCAGTACAGCTCTCTACCCTAGTATAAGATATGTGTTGTTAAAAGCTCACACTGTTGTATATGATTACAATTTTAAGAAAAAATGAAAAAATGAAATCTTACGATGCTTCTCCAGATCTTCCAGTGTTGGCCCAATAATTCCTGATGAATCAGCATCTTCATTATCAGGTAGTAGCCAGGGTGGCAGAGCATTTGTATAGATGTTACCCAGAGTGTCATCTTCCTATAGCAAATAGGATCATTAATTAAGTACACAGAAATATATTTACTTAAAATTAAAATTTACCATGTAATCTTTCAATGATTTGAATAATAGTGGTTTACATTAGCATCCCTAAAACATTTTGAAAACAATAAATAGCTCTAGTTGCACAGGTTCTTATCACATAAACTATTTAAAAAATTGAAAGATTTTGAAACTTAGAAGCATCAAACAAGAACAACTGAATAAAGTTTTATAGGTTTTTGTTCACGAATAAAATAGCTAGTTAATTGACCAGACTAAGAAAGAATTAAAATATTTCTTGTTTTAAACAAATCAAGAAACTCTCCTGGACATTCTTACATTACATCTCTCAAGTGGTGTCAAGCCTTGGCCAAATGCTTGTATAGTTTTTTTCCCCTTCTCCTCTTCACCCGTGAAAGCATTGTTAGTTTTATGGCTATAAGCCTGGACACCTGAGTGAGACAGATGCTTCTCCTGCTGGACTGCACTCTAAAGTAACAGAGACTTAGACTTTCAGGAAAAGTAAACTCTGGCTCATTTAAATATAAATATGGAGTTATGTCCCATTTTATCACACAGTAAAAATTGATAAAATTATTGTTACATTCAAATTACTAAATAAATGCTCAAAATATAAAGTGGAAAAAATTAATTCAAATCACATTATGCATATTTTAAAACTTAAATAAAAACAATAAATAAAAGATGATAATCAGTTAGGATACAGCCTCAATGGTCAAGATGCCACCAACTGACAGACCTGGTCCAACAGTCCAAAGCTGACTATCTGCTGATGTAGCCTATCTTGTGACTTTATCTCAGCTGCCAACTAGACAAGAGAAACAAAACACATAGCAATATCACAAGATTATTACAAAATTATTTACCAGATATTCAAACAAAAAAACATAGAATCTAGTAACCTCACAAGATTATACCAAAATTATCTAATATTTAAAAATAGCACGAAAGATATCAAGTGAGAACTATGTACAAAAATAACATTACAGAAGGGAAACTGCTGCAGACTCAACAAATGTACTGACTTTTTTCACTGTTTCCATCTGCTCTTTGAAAAACTTAGAGCACACTGCATCCAAGTCTTCAAGATATCTGCAAATTGGAAAAAATTGTTGTATTTGGGAAGATATATTGTTAATAACGCATATATCTATAAAAAGAACATAACACTGACACAAGGAAAATTAGTATAAATAAATCAAAATAAGTTAATGTACTCAATTGAGTATTTAAGATAAAGAAATTACAATAGTTTAAAATAGGTCTACTGAATAAGCTAAGTATTAGAGTGGCCAATAACTGAATGAATCAATGTATCTTTTCTTAAGGCATACTAGCTCATTAGTGATGAGCTTTAAAGAATGAAACTCTGTAGTTTATACAACTAAATGTATCAGAACTTTGACTGTCAGGGCAGATACCCACGTTTCTAGCAGAAATATTTAATTAAATTGGCTTAAACTTTCACAAGATAGCCATCCTTGCTTTAACCACATATTTATATTAAAATGTCAGTTGTCTTGGTTTTGGAGATATTTTTAAAACAGGATCAAATTTGGTCACCTACTTGAGGAAAGTAGTGGAAGACAAAACAAACTCTGATGTTCTCTTTAGATCTATTTTGTTTTCTTTCAAAAACTTGACTGTATTTTCAACATGATCACTCCTGAAAATAAAATAAAAAAGGAGTTAATAAGGTGATACAAATAGAAAATCACCAACATAGTAAAATTATTGTAAGTTTTGTAAACTTGCCTAAACAACCATGTACATTTATGTGATGTAGCTAATGACTAAAACAATAAAATATCTACAATTATTAAATTAGCATCTAAATTGTTAGCTAAAAGGTATTTTAATTTCAACTCACGAATAAGAAAAAAAATAAAACATAGCACAATGTCTACAACATACAGGTAGGGAGATTAATACCTGGTGATGTGTTCAAGAAGTCCTCCATGACAAATGAAGCATTCACCCATGGCTGTAAAATGGTGTTTGTGTTTGCCAACATCTAACTGACAAAAATAGCACCAGAAATTTTTGTCCCTTTCTGGCCAAGTTGTATCATGAACTTTGGGGTTTTGTAGACTAGTTCTCGCCTCATTAATCTGTCAATTTTATTTTTTTAATTTAAATCAATGTCGATGAATATACATACAAGTCAACTGAATTTTATTAAACTTCAAAGAGAACTCACACAAATAAGATATAAAATTACCTTCTTTAAAAACTTTTTGAGAACATTAGACACTAAGTCTTGATGACGTTTGGAATACACATGACTCTTCCCCTTTTTATGATTCAGCCTACACAATGAGCAGTATCGAAACTGAACAAATACAGTTTGGCTAGCCATCAGTTGTTCTTGTACGTCCTCCTATTAAAAACATAAATATGTAAAGTTTAGTAAAACTAGAGTAACTATGATTGTCAGCAGTTTTGTTGGTATCTGCAGCTCTAGCCTTAAACTTAAATAAATCTGTGGGCCCAAAAAGTATAATTACTAGTACAAGGTTCCCATAAATAAACTATATCACACTCCTAAGTGGGAGTGAAAGTTTAGACTTTTGTAATGATGTGAGACAAGGGGAAGTTTAGAAAATGTGATAACATTGAGTTGTAATATAAGTACAAAATAGACCTAAATGATCATTTGATAGGGTCTAATCTTTAAAATTTTCTAAATTTAGTAAATTAGCTATATTTTTAACATTTTTTCCTCGATCTTACCAATTATTCCATATTTTTTAAAAATAGGCCATATAGCATAGGCCTATATCTAGGCTAAGCTTATAATTTTGAAATTGTAGAATTTCTTTTTTACCTTTATTTATTAATAAAAGTTAATTTATTAAATATTATAGTTTAGGGGCCGTTACAAAATGTCAGACTTCTAGATTCTAGGGGTGGGGGTTGGTGTTCAGAATTGAGTGACAATGTGTGATAGATGGAAGGGGGGGGGGGTCATAATGTAATCGGTCTTTTTATAATAAGGGGGGTGGGTAAAAAAAAGGCAGGTCAGTTGTCCTATCCTATACTATAATAACTAGAATCTAGATCTATAATTTAATTATTAGGGCCTAAATATATAAATAAATACTAGTCTAGATCTAGATTCTAAATAAAAATAATATCTAAGTCAAAGATTGCGCTGGATCTTATTTTTTTTATATATAATAATATTTATTGTCTTAGTTGACAAAATGTGAACCTACAAGTAGCCTACACATACACAACAATAACATACAAAATAAAAATATAATGACTGTTTATACAAAATGTAGATCTAGATCTAATTTTGGAGAATCTGTAGCAATCTGAATCACAAAGTGTAAGTAGATCTAGACTCTAGATTAGTCTAGATCTAGATCTACTAGATAGTATTTTAGTAAAGCACAGGCTGGTATTACTGGTAACACTAACAGTGACTACCGAACATTCAACATTTTTTTTTTCAACATGGACATTGGCATTAAACAATGAACCATGGAACAGATCAAGGCGTTGCCTCAATAATATTAAATAGATCAGGCCCTAGATCTAGTCTAGATCTAGATCTAGATCTAGAATCTTAGATCTCTTAAGAACTGATTAAAACAGATTTAAAAGATGGATCATGGTATTGATAAATATTGACTTTCAAGGTGTAGCTAAATGTCGGAAGAAACAGAAAAACCGAAATAATTTGATATGAATTTTCATTGTAAATGTATTTGTAGTTCCATCACATAGATATTTGTTTTGAAAATTGCTTTTAGACATTTTCTTTCATTTTGAAAACATTTTTGTTGTAATTGTAATTAACATTCGTCACTATGCCTAACCTTGATCCCGATTCGCCAAAATCTGCACCACAAAATTGTGAGTAGTGAGGATCTCGTAACAAGCAAATGGCTTGCACACGGTTCTGGTTCACGTATCTTTACTCAAATCTATTGTTTGTTTCTTTTTGGAAACATACACACGATCAGAGTTTCTTCCAGGCATCTTTTCGGGGTGGCGAAGCCCCCCCCCCCCCCCGAAAATTTTTTACCGCCCCCCGAACGAAATGAAATTTATATAATTTATATAGAAAATATATACTTTTAACACTGTCCGCCCCCCGAAGAAAGTCTACCGCCCCCCCCCCCCCCCGAAAATTTCAAGTGCCCCCCCCCCCCCCGGAGAAAAAAGTCTGGAAGAAACACTGCACACGATTGTCACACAACGTCACCCCCAGTGTTTCTTCCAGACTTTTTTCGGGGGGGGGGGGGGGGCGGTAGACTTTCTTCGGGAGGGGGGGGGGCGGACACTGTTAAAAGTTTATATTCTCTATATAAATTATATAAATTTCATTTCGTTCGAAGGGGGGGGGGGGGCGGTAAAAAATTTTCGGGGGGTGGGGGGGGGGAACATAGCCCCCCGAAGAGATGCCTGGAAGAAACTCGGGTCACCCCCCCCCCCCTCAAAATGACGTAACACTTTGCCAACCCTCTCATCCAAATTTTGCTACTTTAAGGAGTCATAACCAAGCTAGGTAGTTTTTACGAAAAATAAATTAGATGAGTTATTTTTCTTAACAATGATTTAAAAAATACAAATAGGTCTACTGTTCTGCTTACATAACATTTACAAATCACTTAATATTAGATTCCGTGACAAAAAGTATAAAATAACAGGTAATCAATTTTAAAAATCTATATATATAATTCTCTTCTGGGAGACGCTAGAAAACAAGCTGTAAGCGCGCTCCCTACCACCCCACCCCTACATGGTCTAGTGAGCTGTGGTTCACGCTGTTTACATTTGTGGAGTCGGGTTTAGTGACGGCTATTAGGGGCAGATAATTTAGTTTGAAGCGATTTTAAACTTAGAGGAGGTATTTAAGAGGAGGCTGCTTTCACTGGGGGGGGGGGGGGGGGGTTGGGGAAAAGGGGGGGGGGGGTAGTGTTTTAAAGCAAATATTTTCAGTGGCAGCATTGATACTGTCGAATTCACAAATTATGAATTACTGAAAAGTAGAAAAAAAACAATTAAATAGCGGCGTATGATACGCCGCGGGTCGGCTCGTATACTTTAATAATAATCATTAAAAAAGTTTTTAAAAATTCACGTTTTCTGATTAAACTAAAAAGTAGAAAATAAATGCTATACATCACAATAATGCAAGCGATCACTCTACTATAAGCGATGAAAAACGTGGGGCGCCGAAGTAAAAGTTATATTACTATTGATTAGATAATACTATTGACTTTTATTAGGGAGCTTGTAGAGAGTCAACAGTATTAGAAACTGTAAGAAAATCACGGCGCCCCACGTTTTTCATCGCTTATAGTAGAGTGATCGCTTGCATTATTGTGATGTATAGCATTTATTTTCTACTTTTTAGTTCAATCAGAAAACGTGGGTTTTTTAAAACTCGTAAAAAGACAACTCGTAAAAAACACGTCTCCCCCATACTGGCCACCAGTTGTTACGTTCTGGTTATTTGTAGACAAACACCGCGTGACAACAACTCAGTAAGAAAAAGAGGGAGAGTACCGAACCTTGTTTTCATCAAATTACAGTTACTGGGTTATGTCCCTTTTTCCCCCACGTTTTTTGTACAATTATATAGGGGTATAAAATGATCAATAAAATGTTTCCATGGATCAATTTAGTAATAATAATAATTGAATATTCTATTGTCATCCAAAACAAAGCTTCCCTGAAAATTTCAGCGCGCTAGCTAACTGGGAAGTGCCCGAAATTTCGATCGCAAGATTTGATTGGAAAAACAAACAAACAAACAAACAGAGGCGAAAGCAAGTTAAAGAAAACGTGGGAAAATACTTGTGTGATTTCACACTTTCTTCCACTCCCTTCACGCATCAGAACACAAATCCGACCTACACATGAGTGTGATGTCGATTATGAACCCCCCCCCCCCACCTCTAAGATTTAGTTCTCATGGAACATTAAATAGCTCTTTAGATTTATACAACTACTTTGATTAAGATATTCCCAGTTATAGGAAAGTATATGTTTTCATTACTTGCATTTTAAATTTTCCAGATTCCCATGACAGTGGGCTTGCTACTAGCAATAGATTTGAAAGATTAAAGCAAACTCTATTGCAACAGATGTTTAACAAGCCTTAACCCCGCACATGGACCTGGTGTAAATCGCGTTGGGTAGAGAGCGGCATCCCCCTAGACGTCGGATACCATGGACATCATAAATTATGGACGTATAAATGTGAAACACAATCATCCAACATGATGTCTAAATGTGACACACCATCAAACAACAAGACGTCTAAATGTGACCAACACCAACACTATGACGTCTAGATGTCCGACACCACCAAGCATGACGTCTAAATGTGACCAACACCAACACTATGACGTCTAGATGTCCGACACCACCAATAATGACGTCTAAATGTGACACACCATCAAACAACAAGACGTCTAAATGTGACACACCATCAAACAACAAGACGTCTAAATGTGACACACAATCAACCAACATGATGTCTAAATGTGACCAACACCATGACGTCTAAATGTGACACACCATCAAACACCATGACGTCTAGATGTGCGACACCAACAACACCATGACGTCTAGATGTGACACACCACCAACACCATGACGTCTAGATGTGTGACACCACCAACACCATGACGTCTAAACGTCCCACTTTACCACACAACAGAAAGCCTGAAGTAACTCCTCCCCCCCCCCTCCGCCATCAAATACAATGGTTATTTCCTCTCCCCCCCCCCTCCCCCGCCCCCTCCCGTATATGTCTTACTGCAAAAAGATACTTGGGAAAAGGTACGTGTAGTCTTTACACCAAATTTTACAACACATCCATTAATTTTGTCAACCATTGGCTACCAGAGAAACACTACAATTTCATGTTTTAAGATTTCCCAAAGTATCACAAGTCAATGTATATTATTTTTCGTGCTGGAAAAAAAAGTAACACGTGAAAATATCGCTCAACCTCAGCAACCTACACACATTGTGTTTTTTACTAGTGAATTCTAGGTCTACACACTTGTAACATATCTGTGGTGGCGGGGTGGGTAGTGAGTTAGGAATATAACTCACTATTGTGTAACTACTGAAAACAACTCACATTTTTTTTTAAAGTAATGAAAAAAAAAGAAACTATTAAAGAAAGGAAAAAATTTTGAAAGTATGGGGTGGGGAAAGTTGGGGTATATAAGCCCCGACTTCCCTTTGTCGCTTTGATGTGCCCTTGGCACCGTAAACAAAGCCAGTTTTGGCCGCGGAGTCTTTCATAGTAAACTCTGTAAGTATTTTTTGGTCATGATTACCTCTGTAAGTATTGTCTATTTGTAGGTTTGTTTAATCATAGTAAACTCTGTACGTATTGTCTATTTGTAGGTTTGTGTAAAATCATAGTAAACTTTGTAAGTAATGTCTATTTGTTTCTCTTGCTTGGTTATAGTAAACTTTGTCTAGTTGTATGTTGTGTAATCATAGTAAACTCTGTAAGTATGTTTAGTTGTGTGCCTGTGTAATCAAAGTAAACTTTCTAAGTGTTTGTCGCGTTGTCTATTGTTTCATTGCAACATATTTTATACTTCAGTATTGAATACTTTTAAATAGTTACAATTCATGTATTGCTGTTAGGTATCTTTTTTAAAAATTATTGCCGCATTGATGTGATATCGTAATATGCTTGTAATGTAAGCTATTTTTTCTTATATCGCGGTTTTACTAACCATACTTAGAATATTTTTGTTTTTGGGACAAGTTTGGATTAATACAATGAAGTCAAGCATTTTGTTGCGGCATATTTTGGGGTCTGGGTTTAAATGAAGACAGTTTATAACTTCATTATCAGTGTTTAGTGTAATTGAAGTTTATATGTGATCTATGATTCATTTGATCAGCTAAATTCCCAGACTCGTGTCTTTCCAGACAAGGACACAAGTGTAGTTGCCATCTTAGTCTAATTACCTGAATAGGTATTCGGGTTTGTGCGTATTCTACCACTCAGCCAGTGTAACACGTAATTAAATTTTTAGTTTTTCAGTTCCATGGAGTATTCTTAGCCAGTCTAAAGTAATTAAATGTTTAGTTTTCAGTTCCATGGATTATTGCCAATTCCCACCGAGTTTAGACACTGACAACAGCAGCCATGACCTCAACGATTATGACCCTGTCGATGAAATGGCAGAGGAGACTGCAGACGACCAAGGTTTCATCGACCACGAGGATGCAGACGACACGTTTGACCAGTTGAACCATGACCGTGAAGACCACCTGGCCGAGGTACAGGACCCCCGGGAGCTGATGGACCTGGAGAACGTGTACGACCACCTGCAGTTCCATGCAGTGACTGACCAGCTGGTCGAGGTGTACGTGGCTGGACGCGACGATGACCCAGACGGGCCCAGCGCGGTGCTGCCTGACGCGGTGCCGGTGGGGAGTTTTAAGAATTTGGGTGGAGACTTTTGGAGGGAGAGGTACAAGCCCTTGCACATGAAAATTGACAAGACGTTAGTGCGGGGAATAGACAGGATTCCAGAAGAATCTGTCTGTTATCTGGATGTAGAGGTGAGTCTAACTGCTTAGGCGATAGGTAAGGTTGTGCGAGGGATGAAGGTACATTTTTAGATAATGTTATATTGATAGTTTAAGAAAAAGCTTTTCTAAATACCTTCTATTTACTTTGTTGATTTAGCCAGAGAGCTAATCTAATTTGTTTTTATACATAACCGTAAATTTTTCATATCTGCAGAGGTTTCGAATGTTCTTCACACCATACATAGACTACAGAGGAGAGAAAGAGACGACAGACTTGGAAATCCATTACAGAGACTCGACAAACAAGACGATTGTACTCCGTGTACATGAAAGGGTGATCAACTCGCTCTCAAGATACTTTCAAACACTAGTGGTGAGTCTGGGGTGGTGGGGGTGGTGGGGGTAAGTGTAGACGGTTGCTAGACTAAGGTATAGGGTGTATATGTGAAGGATGCATAATTAGGCCATAATCGTGTTAAAACTAAATATATTAAATGCATGTTAATTTTTTTTTATAGTTTAGGGGCCGCTTTGGAGGAAACAAGACATTTATAGACGGCATCCCGCCATGCAACTGTGAGCTGTTCGAAGATATTGTGACTTACGCCTACACTGGCAACTTTGTGCCCCGTCATGACAATGTTATGAATGCCCTCTTTACAGCATATCAGACCAATCTACACCACCTGCAGGTAAGACAAACCTGTCCGTGGCGTCACTAGGTCGGGTGTCGCACGGTTCAATCACTCCCCTATTACTAGGTAGTTAGGGGTCGGCGTGGTCGAGTCGGTAAAGCTCATGGTTGCTAAACCGAAAAGTCTCGAGTTCGAACCCTTGGGCAGATGAGGCTCGTTAGCTGGGGACAGCCACTCTTCTAGGAGAGACAAACTCCAAAATCAAACAACTGCTGCCTTGTAGTTTGTTCTTGGTTGGACAAAGGCTATGGAAGCAAATCCAAAAAGAAAAGCAGGCTGAAATCGGAGTCAATTTCCTCAATGGCACATAACCAGTTGACACGTAATCCTTAATTGTGATGGAAGCATGGTCGAGTCGGCAAAGCTCATGGTTGATACATTCGAAAAAAAAGTCTCAGAGTTCAAACCCTCTGGCAGATAAGGCTCGATCCCTCCCAACACTAAAAATTAAGACCGAAGAAGACTAGGTAGTTTTCAAGAATATAGCGCCTGTTACTGAACATTTAACAATTTTTTTTTTTCTGTCATCAGATGTGGTGTGAGAATTTTGTCATTGCAAACTTGACAGTTTACACGGCTTGTCACTTCCTGGTCCTGACAGATAGCCTTATGTTGCCGACACTAAAAACAGGGGCTCGGAAATTCATAGGTGCACACCTCATCACGATAAGCAGGAGCTACGCCTTTGTGAAACTCCAGCCGCGCCACATCATGCCTCTGTTTGAAGATGATGACCTAGTTATCCTGGATCCTCAGACCTCCTACGCCCTCAAGACCCGTGATCGTGAGATGGTTCTGTTCGGCGCGGTGCTGGCACACGTCTCCTTTCGGATGTCGTGCGATCCGTTCGCAGCAAAGCTGCTGAAATCGTGCCGGATGGTGGACATTGGGGTGGAGAATGCATGGAAGATGATGAATGCAACCTACCCGCACCTCCGCAACCACCCGACAGTCAGGAGATATTTGAAATGGGCAGAAACTTTGTTTGCTAAGGTGGATGTGAACCTGAGGAAGAAGATTGTGATTCCGTCCCTGTGGACCTTCAGAAGGCTGCTGTCTGATTGTGAGATTTTGGACATCATGCACATCTACGCTCCACACCCCACGCGGCCCTTTGTCAAAAATGACAAAAGTCGTCTGATCAGAGAAGGTCTGGAGATTGAAGGATTTCGGATTTTTGTCCGGTAGGTTGGCTTTGATTCTAGAGCTAATTACTTTATTCTAAGCCTACGTTAATCTAAGCTATCTATTCCGTTGTAATAATGGCCAAGTAGAAATTTGACAGCTCCTCCAGTTGTCACATTAACATTGTACGGTGTTGAGTCCATTGGTTCTCTTGTATCAGTCTGTCGCGTGCTGTTAGTGACGTTTTCCCACGTGTTGGATGCCAAGTATTGTCAACTGCTAGGGCTTTAAGCTGGGACGATGAGACGTCATTGAACATTCTACAGCTTTTTTTAACCAAGTGAATGTTCTGTAAATTCTGCAAGAATTACGACCAATTATGAGCCGCATTTCTCTATTGAAATAAAAATGCCATTATTCGAGTCAAATATGATTCAATATTAATTTGTATTTGTGGTTGGCATATATTTAAAAAATAATAAATCCAGAGCATACTTTTAAGTTGCATGATTGCTTGTAATTTGAATATGCTTACCCCCCCCCCCCCTCCCCCACCCCCGTTAACAGCCGTCATGCTTCAGCCTATGCTATTGGAGGACTTTCAGTCAGATACAGGGTCAGCGAGACGGGAGAGTACAGGTCTACAAATGAGATAGGGTTCATTGACCTCAGGGAGGAAGAGAATGACAAGATTTTTGAAGTAAGTTGGACTCTTGAGTCTTGTACTCTTGTGATACTGTTCCATAATCTCTTGATTTTTCGTAATTCGCAAACAACAAAGTGTGTACTTGTAGAATAAAGTTGTTTGACCAGCACATTTGCTTTGTCTAAAAGATTTGACTACGTCCATCACTTAAATAACAATACGGGAAAAGTAAACCAAAAAAAAATTCCAGTGTGTAGTTCTAATCTCATTATCTACCGTATGGATGGTCATAAAAACTAAATGCCCTTTTCGTACTTGGTGATCCATGGGGGCAAATGGCGTTCACCCGTTCCTGTGACCTAGCCAAATGAAGAGATTAGTCGGCACTATGCCCATCCCTCTTAACGTGTACTCAAGGACTAGCTTGAACCCGTATTCGAACTCTACTTAGAGGTTAGCAGTCATAAAAATAACTATTACAATTCTTGGGTATTTAATATTGCTAAGTATTAAATTTTTAGTAGCGCTACACGTAAAACTAGTTTAAGGATCAATAAATCCTAACCCCCCCCCCCACTTTGTAGGCCTACATGTTAACCATGTGTCTGTCTCGCTACAGATGAGCCTAAACAAAGAAGAGTATGTTAGTGAGGTGATAGTGGGAGCTTCAGACAGGATGGTTCACAGGCTGTCTTTCAGGACAAACACTGGTCGCAGGTTCGGTCCCTATGGGGGCTATGGCGAGGGCAGCATCAACTACCAGGAGCGCCCCCCAAAAGCCAGAGTCACGCGACTCTATGACATGGAGTGTGGCTGCTCCATCATTGATGACAGGCTCTACATCGCCAACCTGGCCCTTACATGGATGAACTTCAACTAACTAGCCAGGTGACAGTTCGTGGTGGCTGCTGTTTATATTTTACACTTGTGATATTTGCAAAATTGTTTTACACTATTTTTCTTTTACATTTTTACAGATTCGTTTTTTTAATAACGAATCCAGATTTTTTATTTCTAATGACCAAAAACTTTTTAAAATTGGCCTTGCTCTTGGGAGTGGAGTTGAGACAATAATTTATGGAGAGATTTTTAAAGTTTACATGAAAGTTTTAATGTTGTGAATGTAAGGTAGGGTTGCTTCAAAGCTTTAATTTAAAACTGCGCAGCATTTGTCATTTTAGAAAGATGTTGTTAAATTCCATGACATTCCATTTTTACATTTAATCATCCATTTTCATTGTCTGCATTGTGTACATTTTCATTACTCATTTTCATATCACGTTTCACAGAGTTTAGATTGTTTTTTTTATACAGAATTTGTTTTTTTTGTTTTGATACAGAGTTTATTGTTTTGTTTTGATACAGAGTTTATTGTTTTGTTTTGATACAGAGTTTATTGTTTGTTTTGATACAGAGTTTTCATTGTTTTGATACAGAGTTTTCATTGTTTTGATACCGAGTTTTCATTGTTTTGATACCGAGTTTTCATTGTTTTGATACAGAGTTTTCATTGTTTTGATACAGAGTTTTCATTGTTTTGATACAGAGTTTTCATTGTTTTGATACAGAGTTTTCATTGTTTTGATACAGAGTTTTCATTGTTTTGATACAGAGTTTTCATTGTTTTGATACAGAGTTTTCATTGTTTTGGAGTTTTCATTGTTTGTTTTGATAGAGTTTTCATTGTTTGTTTTGATACAGAGTTTATTGTTTTTTGTTTTGATACAGAGTTTATTGTTTTTTGTTTTGATACAGAGTTTATTGTTTTTTGTTTTGATACAGAGTTTATTGTTTTTTGTTTTGATACAGAGTTTATTGTTTTTTGTTTTGATACAGAGTTTATTGTTTTTTGTTTTGATACAGAGTTTATTGTTTTTTGTTTTGATACAGAGTTTATTGTTTTTTGTTTTGATACAGAGTTTATTGTTTTTTGTTTTGATACAGAGTTTATTGTTTTTTGTTTTGATACAGAGTTTATTGTTTTTTGTTTTGATACAGAGTTTGTTTTTTGTTTTGATACAGAGTTTGTTTTTTGTTTTGATACAGAGTTTATTGTTTTTTGTTTTGATACAGAGTTTATTGTTTTTTGTTTTGATACAGAGTTTATTGTTTTTTGTTTTGATACAGAGTTTATTGTTTTTTGTTTTGATACAGAGTTTATTGTTTTTTGTTTTGATACAGAGTTTATTGTTTTTTGTTTTGATACAGAGTTTATTGTTTTTTGTTTTGATACAGAGTTTATTGTTTTTTGTTTTGATACAGAGTTTATTGTTTTTTGTTTTGATACAGAGTTTATTGTTTGTTTTGATACAGAGTTTGTTTTTTGTTTTGATATAGTTTTCATTGTTTTTTTTGTTTTGATATAGAGTTTTCATTGTTTTTTTGTTTTGATACAGAGTTTTCATTGTTTTTTTGTTTTGATACAGAGTTTTCATTGTTTTTTTGTTTTGATACAGAGTTTTCATTGTTTTTTTGTTTTGATACAGAGTTTTCATTGTTTTTTTGTTTTGATACAGAGTTTTCATTGTTTTTTTGTTTTGATACAGAGTTTAAATTTGATTTAAAATTTCTTTGTGGGTTTTTTAATTGAACAGGGTTTTGATGATATAATTTGATTTTGAATGTTTTGTTTTAAGTGCTTATTTAGTGTTAATAGGGTAATTTTTAAAAATAATTGTTAGGTTTGGTAGATTAGTTTTAATTTGGGTTGGGTGGCTTTATTATTTCGTTTATTTGGGTTTAGACTAAGCTGTCCATTTACTATGCTACACTTTTGGATTGTTAAATTTGCATAATTTATTTTATCATACACTATACAATTTACAATTTACATTGATAAGCTTAAAATGTGTTCAATAGTAGTTTTTGTTACATAGTTTTAAAACACTGCTGCGGGTTTTATTTTAAAGTAGGCACTGCCATGTAGTAATAGCTTAGGTCCATTTTGTAACTAGTCAGTCTTCACAAGTCCATTAACTCATGTTTTATATGCTAGAGTTATCCCGGACAAGTGGGGCCGACTATAGTAGTTAGCACGAAGATGTTAGTACGTTTAAAAGTATAAAGCCAAGAACTAATTTTATACTTTTTGTAATGCGGGAATAAAGGAGTTTTAAAATTGCCTCGACTTGTTGCATATTTTAAATTGTTACTCTTGTAATCTAGTTCCATTGTCTTGTACACAAACTGACAGTCCGTCTTTCATAGCCCTACAGTTATAGGCCATTTGTAGCTACGGTCTTATATCTTACAACTCATTGAACAAACTTCTGTATGTCTTTCATTATCACATGCAGCCCATCTTACTACTTGAGACCACTGTGCTTCTTTTTGAAGGTTCTAAATGGACACAATTTTTAGTCATATTTTATGCATTTCTCTACATCAGGCGTAGCGAGGGGAGGGGGGTGCGAACCGCAGCGGGTGACACAATTTAGGGGGGGTGGGGGGGTGACACCAAGGCAAAAAATAGTAAATATATAGAGAAATGGTGTAAATCTAAAATTGAAGTTTGTCCCCGGGAAGGGTCGCTACGCCTCTGGGTGGTGACACCATTAAGTGCCGCACCGGGTGACACCCGACCTCGCTACGCCACTGTTCTACATAAAAAACTACCTTTATAATGTCACTTTAAACCGTCCACTCTGACCAACATCCATGAATCATCTCCGGTGATTGATTACCCCTGACCAATGATCGAAACACTTTACACTAAACAGGATATAGCCAATCAATCGGCTGGATCTTTTAATATCGTTCGAGGATTAGACTCCACATTGCAGTTTTTTATGAAGCTCTCCTCAAAGTTGCACTGCTCTGGTAAGAATTTAAGATTTTTGTAAGCTGTGTAAAATGTTTACATTTGGTGGTTCTTTGTTTTGGAAGCTTTTTAAGACCCCAAAAGTTTTTTCTAAGTAGTCCTCTATGTATGGTTCGTGACAGGTTTAAACTTGTGTCGTTAGGCTACGTGTAATGGCGAGATCTTATAAATGTGATTTATTATTTGTTTCATGATCTCGATGAATTTTTTAAATGCATTAATATGAATTTGGTTGAAATCTATAATTTTGTGATGTTGCATTTATTATGCTACACGTGTTTACCTCTAATTAGTAGTTTGGATTGAAACGACGAATGAAGTGGTTAAGAAACCGTACTTTCAGTTAACACGTTTGACTTGTTTAATGATTCGTTAGAGAGGGGGGGGGGGGGGGGAAGAAGGGGTGAACCATTCTGGGTTCGCTTTATGGGGAAAGGCAATCTGGCTTTTTGTAGCATATGACAAAGGGAATTAATTATTTTCTTGACTAGATCTATACATGGACGGCCATCTGTTAGTACGGTTGCTAATAAAAATTAATACCTCTGTCGCGGCAATTTATTGTACATCAATGTCCTGTAGGATACGGCTGGACATAATTTCTATGGCTTACAACACTGTTCGAGATTTGATCTCACTCTCAGGTTCACTAGTGCACTCCCTGACCCCAGCAACGTTGGAGTGGACACAGGTCAAGTCATGGGCGGGGCTGTCGGCAAGCGGAAGTTGGGAGAGGACCGGGATACAAGTGAAAGTACAGAGGCCGTTTATGATGTTGTGAATGGTAACAGTATACCTCATGTAAAGTTAATGGTAACTCCCTACCCCACCTAACGTATTGACGGTAGCCTTCTTCTCTGTTTTGTTAATGGTAATATCCTACCCCATGTAACGTGTTAATTTTAGCCTCCTACCCTATGCTAGGTAAATGGTCACACCATACACCATCTAACGTTAACACCCATGTAATTCGTAACGATATTTAACGTCTTCACAACCACCACCGCCACATATTCTAAATACACATACACTACGACACGATACGATACACTATGATAAGTTACGCCACACTACGCCACACTACAACACGATACGACACACTATGACACGATACAAGTAATGACAACATTCGCAGCTATAAAAACCTAAACAACTAAATAAGTGATATCGTATCCTTTAAGGGATATTTGCTTCTTACATCCTTGCATAGAATCAAATGCAAAACTTGGTGTTGTGATAATAAGATTATATTATGTAAACCCCTGATAGCAGCTGATCCATGCCGACACACTATAACAATCAGCTGATCCGTGCCGACACACTATAACAATCAGCTGATCCATGCCGACACACCATAGCAATCAGCTGATCCATGCCGACACACTATAGCAATCAGCTGATCCATGCTGACACACTATAACAATCAGCTGATCCATGCCGACACACCATAGCAATCAGCTGATCCATGCCGACACACTATAGCAATCAGCTGATCCATGCTGACACACTATAACAATCAGCTGATCCATGCCGACACGCTTTAGCTAGGAAATGTTACAAAACTAAGGTTACTAAGGACAGTGCCGGCGCCAGGTTATTTAGCGCCCTAGGCAAAACTTATTAAAAGCTCCCCCCCCCCGCCATTTTTTTCGTGCCCTCGTATTATCAGAGGAGTAGCGATCCTTTCGGGAAATAAACTTTCGATTTGCACCCCTCCCCCCCTCAAACTTTCGATTTGCACCCCTCCCCCTCAAACTTTCGATTTGCACCCCTCCCACTCAAACTTTCAATTTGTTTTTCCAACCCATTTTGGCACCCTCCTACGGACAGCCCATAGGCGACCGCCTAGTTCGCCTTATAGGTAGCGCCGGCCCCAACTAAGGATATAGACAATCTAAAGCGATACCGCCGCTCTGTACCCACTCGGTCACTTTAAAACACGGTACAATAAACCAAAACACTATGTTCTATATGTTAGACCTGTATATAGGTGGATCTAGCGTTTGGCTAAAAAGTTATAGACATCTCCCAAAGAGAAATATTTTTAAAAAAGCAAAAACCAAATATATAAAGGTATAAAATGTAATGGAATACAACCCAACAATGGCTCGAAAGAACATAAATAAACAAAACATCAACAAAAATGAAAGCTATATCAATATGTATCAATATGTGAAAATCTCGATTTCGAATTTGTGCACGATTACAGTAGGCCTACTTCCTCTTTACTTCGTATAAACAAAAATTAAAAAGCTGCATTATTGTATGAATATGTGAGAATTGACTTAGGTGTTACTTGCATGTCCCCAGAGGATGAAGTCAGTGAAGACCTTCGTCAGATAACTAGCGGAAGTAGCCAGTTCATGCGTCCGGTCACCAGGAAGGACGTCATGTTTCCAGACTTTTCCATCTTCCATACCGCCGACCTCCACGCCAAGCAGGTTAGTGTGTTTTTTTTTAATTTCATTTTTTGATTGAATAA